GATTAAATTTCTTATCCCAAGGATAGCTAATCTAGGTTTAAAATAACGTTCCTGAAAGCAGATTTATCCCTTGATTAACTATCCCACGATTAAGCTGAGGTTAAACCAGTCAAACCGGTTATTAAGAGCTACGCGGCTACGCGCGAAAAAAAAAAAAATGGAGGAAAAAATGGCGGAAAGGGAGAGTGCACATGGAAGTGGAAACCAAACGAAAGATAGAAAAAGAAAGCATAATTTTTCAGTTTATGAGATTGAAGTCATCACCGATAATGTCAAAAAAAATCTCGATTTAATCCAATCCAAATTAACGAATGCTGTGACCAACAAAAAGAAACAAATGCTATGGGAAGAAATAACCCAAGCGGTAAATGCGGTCGGAACAGCCAAGCGAACAGTCACGGAGGTAAAAGACAAGTGGAAAAATCTCCATAGCATCGCCAAGAAAGAATTTGCAGAATTCAAGAGGGAGACCAAGATAACTGGAGGTGGTCGGCCTCCAAAGTCGCCGAGTGTTGCCAGCAAAGAGATTATTGAGGTGCTTGAGGACACGCCGGCGTTCAGCGGTTTGATTGGCTTTGAGACAGGTTTGTAAACAATTCTCTATTGTTTCCAGGTTACCAAAAATTTTAAAATTGTAGACAGTCAACCGGCCATGTTGTTTCGGCGGGGTTTTCAGCTTATCAAGCGCTTTCCCGTCTTTGAGCATACGAAATGTTCGGACTCAAGGGAGGAAAAGATAAGTTTGCATGTTTTTTTTTCCAATATCCGTAACTGTATTAATCAAGTTTTACCTTGTTTCGTTTATTATCCCGTCACATTTCATGAGTGTACTTCACTAAGCGAAGGCTGCTACGGAGAACTCCAAACCGGTTTGCTGCTTTTGCGGCATTTATAGGGTTGCATTCGATTAAACCCTGTTTAAGCTGAATATAGACGAACGCTCATGACGGACTGTCAGTAATTTAGCAGACATATATATAAATTTCAGCTTCACTTGATTAATTCATATGTCGAAGATTGCATAGCTCCGTCATTTTGGAAAGCGATCTGATGAGTGAGACAAAAACCTTTGATTTCGAAGAATGTCTCGGATACGGTTTATAATTCGGTTAAAATTCGTTTTACCAAAGACAAAGTGCTCCTATTATTTCTTTATTTATCTTGTACGAAGGAGTGTTCTTCAAATATTTACGATCGGCTATTTACATGTATAAATAACTAATTTTTATTATTTCGTTTTGACGCAACTTTGTTTATGTTTGTGATTGACGAAATAATTTGTTGTTGTACCTGTTATCATGTCCTATTTTTTCGATCACTAAACTGTGGTACGGTTCTCGTTGTCGATTCGCTCTGATTCCCCTTTATCTGTCTAAAATAAGCTTAACTTTTGGTACATGATTTACAGATTTTATAAGCATTTTCGTGAATGATTTCACTGAGTTAAGTCTACCAGTACACAAATTCATTTTATGAAATTGAATAATTTATTTTTTACATGTTTAAGCCTCAGATTCCTTGCGGGAGAGATGCTCCTTCTGTTATTTCATTTATGTCATGCATAAAACTAAATTCACACTTTTTGAGCCTGAGTGAAACCTTAATTGTGCTTGAAATATTTTGTAGGAGAAGATGCTCATTTACCAGCAGAGTCTGCGAAGACTGTGTTTGAAGAAGACTGTCTGAGCCTTAATGAAGACATGCATTCTTCACCAGCCAAGGTTGATGAACAGAGGAAGCCTTCAAAAAGGATAAGTAATGGCGATGTTTTAAAAATGCAGTACGAATGCCTGTGTACTCAGAAGGAAATGTTGAATCTTAAAAAACAAAAATTGAAAATGCAAATTCATCTTCTGGAGCAACAGGTCAATGCAAACCAACCTTCGCAACTGCATTAAATGCAAATTTTGTAGTTCCCAACACCGATTCATTTTAAAGGAGGAATAGTGTAATAAGTCCTCTTAAAGAAATATTTTGGGCAAATGTTGTTCTCGTATAATTTATTATAAAACATACACAATGTATTTTGTTCTCAAAATGTATTTTAATGTAATAAAACAGATTCTTGAGTCAAACTTATTTTAATGTGTTTTTTCAACCAGAAACCCCTCAAATGCATATATGAATTTTTTATATTTTATGGGAAGTTAAATTAAGAGCAAAACTGATTGCATAAGGCAGAAATACAAAAATTAAAAATTGTCAGAAAAAGGTGTTGCAGATGTGGTCTCGGATGACCTTGCCATCCTCTGGACCCCGGAAGCAAACAAGATTAGGTTGATCATCAGCCTCAGCATAGCCATCCAAAGGTTCCTTTCTCAGAATTGCAATGTTATGTAAAACTGCACATGCTCCGATAATGATGGACACTTTTTCTGGCTTCATTCTGATCTCAGAATGAAGCAGATGGAACCTTCGCTTCCACCAGCCAAAGGCTTGTTCTATTGCCACTCTTGTTCTTTTGTGGGCACTGTTGAACTCTTGCTGCTTGTCAGTGACTGGATTCAGGTAAGGGGTCATCAGGTACGGCTTGCAAGGGTAACCACTGTCACCCAACAGTAAACCATCTTCCAGGGACTGGTGTTGGATGTTAAGTTGTTGGCCAATTCTTGAATCCCTAAATATGAAGCTGTCATGGGTGCTGCCTGGCCATCGCGTGCTACAATGTTGGTAAACATGCCTAAAATAAAACAGCAAAGAAGTTATGTGACCAGTTCTTACCTATGATGTAGAAAATCTCATCTCAGTTTATAACAATAATGTACTGCAAAGAGGAACAACAATAATTGTGTCTATGATGAACTGGGGTAACTGATACAAATATTTAGTTTACTTGGAAAACCTTTTCATTGTTTAATTTGTTTTTTGAAATTTGGGAGACTGCATCATTTTGAAATCCCTGCTGATTGTTACATTCTGTTGGTCATTAGCTGAGCAATATATTCACAAATATCCCACATTATTTCTTGCTATTTTCCCTTGTTTTTTACTTTTTTATACTGTCACTAAAATATTGGTGTGATAATTTTGATAAATTTTCCGTATGTGTGTTTGCAAACCAAACTCCACCTATACCATTTGACTCAAAAAATATTAAAAAAAAAAAAAATTTTATCACCACTCCCATTTCCTGACTATGTGAAACTGCAATCTAGTAACTCCCAACAATGCAACCCCATAGCAGCTGGTGTGCTAGAAATCTCAATCTAAAACCTTCTATAAGGGGAGTACCCCTCCCTGCCAAAGGTTATTTTGCAATTTTTATAGAACACTAATTGTGACATTTGAGTATTTTACCTACCTTTGTGATTGCAAATTGCTTGCACATTTATGGAATGGAACCCTTTACGATTGACAAAATCGTTTTCGTTTTCATGTGGTGCCTGAATCTTGATGTGAGTGCCGTCAACACAGCCAATCACCCCAGGAAATCCCCCTTGGTAAAAAAAACCGCGTTTGTTTTGAAGTATCTCCTCTTCGGTCGATGGCCACTTGATGAAGTTTCTTTGTTTCTGTGCAAGGGCAAGCGAAACTTGACCGATTATACGGGACACGGATGACTTTGACAGGCCCAGAGTATCTCCAATAACTTGAAGAAAGCTTCCGGAGGCGAAAAAGCGCAACGCTACAAGGACTTGCACAGTTGTCGACAATGCACGGTTTCGAGATGTATCTCTTTCAAGATCGTCGCGAAGGAGCTCAGATAAAAATTCTATGGACTCTCGGCCAAAACGATATCGACTTCTCAATTCTTCATCAGTAAAATTGGACAGGGAAAAGTCGTCTGGTAGCCTAAATGTCCTTTCTTTCCTTCTTGGGGCCGGCATTAAGCCTAATCCGCCGAGTAATAAGTCGGCCATTTTGTTTTGTTTGGGGAAAGTTTTCCCTCGATTAGTGAGTTAATCCACCTCGCTAGGTGTGTTAAAGTTAACCTTTATTTTAACCCTGGGATAGTGCTAATCGCGTTTTCAGGAACAGAAACTAATCGTAGGTTAAATTTTATTCTTGGGTTAGGGCGATTTGATCGTGGGTTAGCGCTAATCGGCTTTCGAACAACCGGGGCCAGGTAAGATCTTGTCACAAGATTCTTACAAGAATCTTGCAAGATCTTGCCACAAGATTCTTACAAGATCTTGTAAGAATCTTGGGACAAGATCTTACAAGATCTTGTAAGGTCTTACAAGATTCTTAATTAAGAATCTTAATAAGAATCTTAGTAAGAAACTTACCAGAATCTTAGTAAGATCTTAATAAGATTTCCACCTGGGATGAGACATTGGCACTAATTGAATATTTGCAGTTCCTGATTTTGAAATAACTATATTGAAATCCGTTACATTTTCATTAACTGAGGATGTCAAATTAGGCTTTGGAACGAACAAGTGAAGAAAAAATTCTTCATATGAAAAAGATCGAACTCTTAGAGAACAAAGTTTACATCGACAGGAATTAGAATCGAGAAACGCGAACTCAACTCTTTCACGAAAGTTTCCTTGAGAGTGTAAAAGTCACATTCCAACGAAGGATTTGGAGCACAAGTAACCAACGCCATGTCAAACTTACCTTTTAAAACGGAATGCTCTCTACGAAGGTATCCTTTCGTTTCGCCTTCAGCTAAAACTTTTGAAAGAAACAGGAGAAATACCGCGAGGTAAGTGTTCAAGCACTCCATTACTAAAGTCTTCTTTAGCGTTACGCTGCAATCTCAGTTTAATGAGACAGGAATGTTTACTTCTAGGGTGGGGTATAAGAGGGCTTTTATCTACTGGAAACTAAATTTTTCTTTTTTTTTTCTTTTTGTAGTTTGTATAAACTATTTATCAATTTTAGCTATACAAGTTCTTTAGGTCAAGATCCTTTTGAATCTCAAGCGTCAAAATAAAGTTTCATCAAATACATAAATCGTATCACCCTTCCCTTACTAAATTCGAAATAGGAAGTGACGTTGCCTTCAGCACTATTCTACAAGTCTCGAAAAGCATCTTGGGAACAGAAACAAGATGGCGGCTAAAACCGAAGATGGACAGAAAAAGAGTCGGCTGGATTGGCGTAAAGAAAAAGAGTTAGAGGAAGCGAGAAAGGCTGGTACGGCACCAGCACTGACGGACGAAGAAGGAAAGTAAGTTGTCTTTATTAATTGTTGTATTTTTGTAACTTGGCAATCCTTTGATATGTCCATGGAAATGATATATTTGGAGAAACAAATGTGTGCAGATGTACAATTCGAATGACTGTACTTTTGTTTCATTTTTAAGGTTAGAATAGTATGGAAGTTATAATTTATAATTTACACAATCCATGAATCTGTGGTTTAATAGAAACGATACGAGAGCTTTTCATGATCAACAATTGTGTACGTACGTCAGTACACAGCTTAATTTGAATCTTCACATTTCACCTACGCTATAGTGATCAATATCAGTATGTGGGCAACTGCCCACCTACCCCTCCTCCCCCTCCCCTAACCCAACATTAACCCTAACTTGTTATCAATTGACTGTTGTTGAGTTAGGGGAGGGGTAGGCGGGCAGTTGCCCAGATACTGATATTGATCCCATTATGCTTATACGTTTCTTTTTACTCATTACCTGATATAAGAGGACTGATATATTCTCAAAACAAGAAAAGAAAGGAATCTGTATCTTGATGGTTGACTCCAAACATGGGTTATTGCATTGGTATTGTGCAATTCACAATACAAATATTACCTTGTAATGCTGTTAGGCCAGCTATGCAGGTATTTCCCATGAAGGACTTCTGAAAAGATGGACCTCTGTGGCATTGTATTCCATATTTGCTCCATTTTTTGTTGCTTTCTAATTCAGGGTATGCTTGTTTTCACTACTCTGATAATGGATTACATCTCTCAGTTAGTACATACATGGCTTACGATTGGTCAATTTAGTAGGCCTTACTTGTATTTCACTCTATAGTATGCTCTATATAACCCTTTAACTCCCAGAAGGGATTTACATGTGACTTCTCCCTTTTGCATCTATACATTAATGAGCAAATAGTTAATGAGAATACTCAAACTTATCAGGTACAAGATGTTATCCAATTTACAAACAAATGTGTAGGAGCTAGGGGAGAGAATTAACAATCAGATCTGGGAAGTTAAAGGGTTAAAAGTGTGTTTGAGTTGAAATCTTCTTCCTCTACCTGAAGCCAAAGATAATAAACTTCATAGTAACCTGAATTTCTTGAACTGTATTTTAAGTTACAAAAACATGTATTTTTCACTCAGATTTATAGCCCTTACACCTTGCACATGGGCCATGAATCCAAGTGGAAAAAACTTGGTCCATAACTTACAGCATGGATCTCAAACTCGGTTAATAGGGGGGAGTTAAATTTTTTATTTGCTTGCTCTTTAGGGATATCAATCCTCATATTCCACAGTATATCTCACAAGCTCCCTGGTATTATGGCACTTCAAGGTAAGGACTAAGATTGATTAATTTTCTTTAATTCTCCCAGGATACACAGTGTTTAGTTAGCTTAGGTAATTGTTATATTTTTAAAACTTTGATACTCTTTGGCCTCTACTTGTAAATTGTTTTTTCATTTCTAGTGTGAGTATAATACTTGAGGATTGACTATTTTGATCAATTCTTTTTATTTCACTATTTTTTAATTAAATAAATTTAATTTGACCTGTGGATGAAAATCAAGCAAAGAGATGATCCTGGCAGGTGGACTTTGGTGGAAGAAAAGAGGCTCAGAAAAAGTCAGGCTTTGATGGGATTTAAAGCGCTAGCACTCTCAGATTCTTGTTGGGAACTAATACAAAAAAAGTACCACAAAACCACACTTTAGGAGCAAGGCAACTTTTTGAGGGTTTTATTTTCCTTACTTAAACATTTATAGCCATTCAGCTCAGCCAATTTTCTTTAATTTAAAAATTGACCAATATTTTAGGCAAACATCTTTTGTTTTTGGTGAGTTACAGTAATTAATTTGCTATATTTTCATTTTAGACCAACTTTAAAGCATCAACGTCCACAAGAAGAAAAGCAAAAGCAATTTTCAGGGATAACTGAGTGGTACAAAAGAGGGACTGATGTAGTAAGTGTCATTAACCTTTTTAAGATGAAGAAGTCAATTTGATTTTGATCACAGTGGTTAAAAGTTAGTATTATTTAAATTTTCCTAGATACCAGCAGCTACCAAGTTCAGAAAGGGAGCCTGTCAAAACTGTGGAGCCATGACTCATAAAAAGAAAGACTGTCTTGAGGTACACATGTTGTACAAAACATTAAGTTCTTATAAATAAAATGAGCAATTATGTCTATTTGATGGTTAGTACCCTTTTATGTTTGAGTAAAGGTTAAAACCTTGTTTACTTAACCCTTTCACTCCCAAGATCTGATTAGTAATTCTCCTTACTATCTGCCATACAATTCTTATGATGTTAGTTCAGAGAATTTGGTATTGGATCAACCAATAATCACATGGTTGATATTTTTCTCTATTCTCATCACCTGCCTGCTTGATATTGTATTGATATTGTAAGGAGAAATTCTGTCCTGGTCACTTGTGGAAGTGAAAGGGTTAACACATAAACCCCTAGGATTGAGTAGCATCTAATTTCTCCTCACAGTATCACCCCTGAATCAAACGCTAAGGTTGTGAGAATAAAGGAATAATCAACAACTGAAACAGCTCTTGATTGTTAACCAAATTCTCAATGTCAGCACCTTAGGAAATGTATAGAGAACAGTGTGGAGAATATGCATTCTGATATAAGGGTGTTGAGGGTTGAACCATCAACTTGAAAGTGTATGAAATGAATTCAGTTCAGCAGAGTTTGAGTAAACGAACAGTAATTGTCTCAAAGGGTACTTTGAGGTATTTGAAATAGCTCTAAGTTCAAGTTTGCCAAGAAGTTCTAGGTCATTTAGTTTGGGTCAGTAAAGTTCTACTGTAACAGTGAAGTCTGTACACAGATTCAACTGGCTGAAATTAGTAGCCTTACAAGTTCATTAGATCTAGTGACAACAAAGAATTACTGATTTTTTTTTTATGTCAGAGACCCAGAAGAGTTGGTGCTAAGTTCAGTGGAGAGGATATTAAAGTTGATGAACACATACAGCCTCAGCTTTCATTTGATTACGATGGTAAAAGAGATAGGTAAAAATGCATTTCTTTCAACTTTTTTTTTTCATTTTTTTCACACAATTTCTTTTTCATTTTTCTCTTTTGTTCTCTCCTATTACTTTCTCTTCCTAAATTAACTACTTATCATACTTTCTGGCCTAATTTCAAGTGAGGTGGCTCAAAAGTGGTGTCTCAAAGAAGGCACTTTGTGCTTTCTATTGTTTGGTGAAGGGGGGAGGGGGTTTGCAATGCTTTAAATCTGGGGCTACTAACCTTCCTCTTTGTGGATGCAAGGAATGGAAGAAGTTGCAATAAACAAGTGCTACAAATTTCACCAGCAGCCAGTGCTCAGCAACAACCCTAAACATCCCTTAAAGGCATGTTTAGGGTTGTTACTGAGCACGTAACATGCACAGTCCATTCACAAGTTTGTGATTGGACTGTGCATGTCACGTTTTTGTTCTGTGATATAAAGTTCTAGTTTAGGGTTATTTTCTTTCATAATAACAACCATCTGGTATTTTTCATTTATGTATGTATGAAACCAGCGGCTAATTAGTTAATTTTGTCATAGTGTGACTCTTGTAGTGCTTCTTGTTGTCTAAAAAGTAAAGCCTTGATACAAGCCCCAAGTGGCCCACGGGGCTGGCGCTTCACTCCAGTTTCCTTTAGCACAAAGCGGTTGGATGGGATGCTAGTCCATTGCAGGGTTACCCCCAGCATTTTTGCCAGTACCCATTTGTACACCTGGGTGAAAAGAAGCATTGTGAGAGTAACGTGTCTTGCCTAAGAACACAACACAATGACTCCAGCTAAGGCTCAAACCTGGACCACTCGATCTGGAGTCAAGTGCACTAACCATGAGGCCAACAAGTTGTTGTCTAGCTATGCCTTTAATCATTCCAACTTCACAGTAGTTTTATGTTGTTACTCAACTGCCTGGTTATAAGTGGAATTATTTCTCTTATCAGTTTCATTAGCTTTATTAGCTTGTGACTAATGACAATTCTTCTTTGTATTTAGATGGAATGGTTATAATGTTCAGGACTATAAGAAAGTTGTTGACGAATATAACAAATTAGAGATGGTAGGTTTTCACTTACCTTATTCTTTGTCATTCTGTTAGATTTAAGGTCATTCCATATTATTGCATCATCCTTTTTGCTCATTAATTCATGTGCAACTAGCTTGCGCATTTTAAAAAAAGTGATGGCTTTTGTCTATGATTGGAGCTCATCTGGGAGGTGAATTTTCATTTTCTTGCCCAAAAGCAGGATGACCTATATGAAAGAAGCTTTTTCATTTAGATAACACAATTTGAACATAAAATGTTTGGAATATTTTTTGTTTTCTTTTGGAATTGAGCAATGATTTTCTTTTGGTAAAGTAGATACAAACCAATTCTGAGTGTAGAAAAAGGAGCAAGTTTTGGAAACACAAATTTAGTTGGTATTTGTTAAAACATAATTTAATGCATGTAATATCTTTGCGTTCAGGCCAAACAGCATTTAAAAGCAGAGAGACTGGAAGAGGAACTAGCAGAAGGAAAAAAAACAGAAATTGTGGTAAAATCTTGCTAACTTAAAGATTTTAAAGTTGATGAACAGACGAAACTCTTATGTGAAACTGTTTTCAAGATTATGCATTTGTATTCTTTTGTAATTCTTTGGAATTGTTTGCAGGATGACCCAGACAGTGAAGATGAAGATAAGTACGCAGACAGGGCTGACATGCCGGGACAAAAATTTGATACAAAAAGGTGAATTTTCACCTGTCTTGTGCATGAATTAAATAAACATGATACTGCTTTGATACTACAATTGCTAAATGATGAACACATGAAACTAAAGCCCTTCTGACACACTCTCAATTTTGTAACACAATTTCTATAACTGTGTACTGCTGTGCAATCAAGTCTGGAATATTGAACCTCTTGATCTTTTAAGTGGATTGCCAGCCAGGCAGTCAGTTAGGTGTTGTTGCATTGTGGTATCATTTCATTTTTTATGCATTGAGAATCTGCAGGGTGTCTAATATTTGCAATGTATATGTGGTTTCAGTTCTAATCTATTTTTGCTCCATCATCAGACGAACAACAGTCAGGAACTTAAGAATCCGTGAAGACACTGCAAAGGTATGTGATTCCACAATATGTTGTGTTTTAATGTTTTTGTTGTTGTTGTTGTTTAAACATTTCAAACTAGTTTGATCCTTATTTTCTTTTGTGTTGTATTCTGTATCAATCAGAGACAAAAAAAAAATGAAAATCAAAGTTGTTTGAATAACTTTAAATCAAGGAAAGAAAGATTTGTACCACAACATACCTATGTTGCAATTAGGTTATATTTATGGTAACTTTATTCCTTTGCAAACTTTTGATGCTGAAAGTAAGTAATCATTTCTCTTGTTTCAATTTTGATTAGTATTTATACAACCTGGACCCCAACTCAGCATATTATGATCCAAAGACAAGATCAATGAGAGAAAACCCTTTCAAGGAAACAGATGCAACTGCAAACAAGTGAGGATTTTTCACTTTCTTTGTGAGAATGTTTATCATAGTGGTTGAAGGCTTTTTCTTGCTAGGTACTAAATAAGAAAAGTGTGGTTGAATTTCTAACTCTTTCTTTCATCAGACATCATTAGTAATTCTTGCTGTTTACCATACAATCCCTATAATTTTTAGTCACAAGAATTTATCATTGGACCAACTAATATACCAGCCTCTAACTGATGTATTTGTTTCCCCATCATTTGTCTGCTTGATATTATATTGATTTTTTTTAAGGAGAAATTCGCTCTTAGTCACTTATGGGAGTTAAAGGTTACGTGAGCATGGTGCTGGCTCTGTTGAGAAAGAAAACTGACAGAGCAAAGTTTTTGCATAACTATAATTGTTAATGTAAGATGCTCTGAATTTTTCCTTTTCAAGTGTCACCTACTCTGGGGATAACTTTGTTCGATTTTCTGGAGACACACAGAAGATGGCTCAAACACAGTGTAAGTCTATGTATTTGTGGGTCACCACTATTTACAAAAGATTTGGGTACACCTAATAACTTGCATTCTTTTGTGTTTACCAGTATTTGCTTGGGAGGCATATGAGAAGGGAGCTGATGTCCATCTTCAGGCAGATCCCACCAAACTTGAGCTGTTACACCAAGAGTACAGAGTAAAGAAAGGTGACTTTGAACAAGACAAGAAGCTTACAGTACTTGAGAAGGTGAGAATCCTTTAGAACAGTTGTACATTAGAGAGGTCTTATAATCTTTACACAGTTAACATAATCCTTAAATTGCACTACGTATTTCTAAATACATTGATCATTGATAGTGTAAGCTATGTCAGTGTATTATAACTAAAAATATATTACTTTGTTTTTTTCCTTAGTATGGAGGTGAAGAACACTTGAATGCTCCTCCCAAAGACTTGTTGTTGGCTCAAACTGTAAGTGTTATTAGCATTGAAAGTGTACTGTAGTAGGCAGTGTTTCTTGTTGCATGGTACATTGTGATTAATTGTATTAAAAATTGATAAACTCTGTATGTATTATTTCTTATTGAATTGTTTGAAAATAATGCCATTTTCAGGAGCATTATGTGGAGTACTCAAGAACTGGAAAGGTCATTAAAGGTAACACAGCTGTATTAATAAATTCATTCTCCCTTTAAGATCAATTTGCCTTTGAGTGTTAAAGGCAATCAAGGATTACATTGGTTTGCTTTTCTTTACTCTGCGATTGGTCCAGAAAACTCGTGCCAATCTCTCAACCGATCAATTACTGTGTTTGAAATTGTTCCTTGCAGGTCAAGAGAAGGCAGTTGCAAAGTCCAAATATGAAGAGGATGTGTACACAAACAATCACACAGTGAGAATTGAGAACATGAAAATGACAACATGATATTAGTATTGCAGTTTTGATAATCAGTACTATTTTAGTCGGTAATCATTTATTAATTAAAAATGTGGTATACTCCACATCAGTGTGTGCTACCTTGCTTGTTTTGTATGCTATAGCTTGTTTTCTTAGTCCAAGTCTGCCTCTCTTTTCAGAGTGTTTGGGGTTCATACTGGCAGGAAGGAAGATGGGGCTATGCTTGTTGTCATTCTTTTGTCAGAAATTCCTACTGCACTGGGGAATCTGGTAAAGCTTCATCTGCAACAGGGGTATGATAAAAATTAATTCAGTCTGCAAAATAAACCATAAGGCAATAATATATCTGAGTTTGTAGTTTAAACAGTGTACTGCATATTTAATTTCAAATTTATCTCTAAATTCCCGTGCTGTCCACAGAATAATCCACCAATTACAAGTGCAGCAAGAATGATTCAAGAAGCAGAAGAAAATGGGAAAACATTACTTGAGGTTAGTTGAGATGTCACCAGGTAGCCTACACTTTACCTAGTGAGAAAGCCACTTTTCCTTTTGTTTTTGTTGATTCATTCTAAAAAAAGAAAAGCTTGTGTTGAAGGATGCTGGATTCTTGAGTTAAAAGCTATGGTTTACAGCTCCTGGTTCACTTGTGACTTAGGAATCCAAATGATGTCTGTCAAGGGGGCTGCTGTTGTTGTAATGGGTAGAAAATTGTCTTCAAATGTGCATTGAATTTGGTTTATGGATGCCACCATCTGAAAGCAACTCAGAAAGTGACTACAAAACCATAACATGCAGTTCGCAAGCAGCTGTAGCTTTGGCTATTGAAAGAATTATTATTATTTTTGTGTAGCTAGTTAACTATTGGTTCATATGTCAGTGTGCGTTCATTGAGATATGAAGCACAGCTTTTGAGAGATTTGCTGATGTCATGAGCGTGCACAATAGGATTTATGAAGCACGCTCGCGCAGTTGAATTTGATTAGACAAATCTACTAGCTATGCTATAATAGTTATTGAAACATATGAACACCAAGGATGGGAAAAGAGTAGTGGGAAATATTTACATCTCAGGTCAACAGCCATGTTTCAAAGCAAGATTCATAATAGTGCCATCTGTGTAAGAAACTTGGCAATTTTGAAGACAATTTTTGAATTATTAAATTTCTATGTCCAGTCTAAAAATGGACTTAGTATCACATTTTCATAGAAATGATAAACAAAACTTTTTAAAAGAAGTGGTGTCTGAAATGTAGGTACCCCTCCTCTAATGGTGGATAAGACTCTTAGCTGTAAGACACAGTTTTTTTTATCAATGTCAAACTTCCCCCAGCATGCATTCAATGGTAATATACGAGATTATATGGAGGAGGAACTTTTATGCGTAAAGTCAAGGTAAAGGATGTTAAAAAAAAAAAATTTTTTTCTGCAGCTGACATTCTAAATATTCATTTGGATTCCTTAATTTTAGCTTCATCAAGAAAATCGCAAGAAGGGTAAGAAAAGAGAAAAGTCAGTTGATGAAGATGATGAGGAAGTTAAAAAGGAAAAGCTAAACAAGGTTTGTTGACAACGAGGCACTTTATTATTGGGGTTTTAAACATAGTAGTTTTAGAAGACTAGGTAAAGTATAGATCCTTTGCCATAGCTATCAAAGCTTTCCTCAATGAGGACACTTTGATAAGCATTTTGTATTATTTCATATTCCGTCTGTTTCTTAACAATACTGGGAGTGGCATTTAACAAGTAGATCTTTCCTTTGCCAGGCACTAAGAAAAGAGGAACGGAACCAGAAAGAAGCAGACAGACTACTCGCCATGGATGAACGAAAGAGACCATACAACTCTCTCAAAGGTGATTACCACGAGGTTACTGAGGAGGAGATGGAAGCATATCGCATGAAGCGTCGCCAGGAAGATGATCCAATGAAGGACTTCCTTTAACCCACATTGCAATAAACAGGGTGCCATAGAGAAGGCTAAACGGTGACTTGACATCTTCCAAGCAAAAGATTATGTGCTTTACCTTGACTCAAACAGTGTCAGTGAGTTCTAAGATCAACTTGCAACAGCAGTCACATAATGCTTAGTCATAAGGATACTTCAGCAGATGGAAAGACTCTAACTTGTAGCTAATAATTCAAGTCCCTCACTTTTTTTCTGTCCAATTAAAACTTTAAGAAATGAGGGTGAGACTTTAGAAAATTATGCAGAATCTAAGACAGAAATCTAGAAAAAATAGGGTCTGGGAGAGCTGAGAGATGTACTTCTCTAATAGGCCATTCACCACTCTGGAGAGTAAATGATGACTTGTCTTGCTTTGCATGCAAATATACATAGCTGTGAACAGAACTTCATTGTGTGGTCCTTAAAGAATTGTACAGAGACACCTGGAATAACTGTTAAGTGATGATTCATGATGTGTATGTTGTATGTTGGCAGCTCTAACAGGAAATCAAAGAGACAAGAGAACATTTTTGTTAATCCTTCATTTGTACTGGTAAAAAAAAAACACTCCTGTAAATAAACAATAGTTCCAAGGAGTAATAATATGCTTTTATGCACCTGAACTTTGCCTTCAGTTTGAATAATGCTTTGACTCAGTGGTGGAACATTGGAGCATCAAACCAAAGGTCTGAGGTTTGATTCCTTACAGGGACTCAGAATTTTTTCTTTGTCCCATGCTTGTGACAAGATGAAAAAACATCTTTTGCAAAGTCATTTTTAATCTTTATTTCTATCAACCAGAAAAGGATTCCAATGTTTAAATTATCACAAATTCATCTCTAACAACAACAACAAATTTAATGTTAATTTTCCCTTTAAAAAAGTAACACCCTTAATTAATAGTTTGGAAAAGAAAAAGGGAGACTTCTGTCCTCTGAACCACTAAGACCTTAACTGGTATGGCAAATCTGTATATTTCAACTTTACATCTAATCAATAAATAACATCAATTGAAAATGATGACAAAATTTTTTTGCCCTGTAGAAATCTAGAACAAATAGTTTTCCCATCTGTTTCCCAGTGATTTATAAATAATAGCAATTTAAACTTGATTTATATGTGATTTTTAAACTTACAGTGAGTACTGTAGGTAATGCCCCCACCACAAGCTGGTTGCCCTTCAATAAGATCACCATATCCCCAAAGGCTCTTGTCTCAGAAAACTGGGGTATCCAGGTTTTGAAAACTTTCATAAATAAAGTTTTACAAGTCTCTAAACGATAAAAGCAAGTCACCTATAGTACACTGGTTCTGATAGGGCACAGCCCTGTTAATTTACACTGCATTTGGGGAAATGTATTCAGAACCTCCATGTTAGGATACAGTGTAGACTATGATAAATTAATAACAGACACCCAATGCACCTTTGTACCTACATACACTTCAAGTCAATTACATAAAAAAAGTTCAGCAAGTAATGATACTGATAAAGAAAGCAGGGTGTGAAGTAGATCTAGCAGACTACTTGCTTTTAGCCTTATCATAAACATCATTGCATTCTTAACATAAATGTAGTTATCTTCAATTTCTTTTCAAATTGATTGAAGTTTTGGAATAGCAAAGCAACATAAAATAGAAAATATCCCAAAGTGCAGGAGAGAGCTACTACAAGAGTCTAGAACTTCAAAATTTCCCCAGAGAGTCTGAACCTCCCTGGGAATAGAAGGCCCTCTCAACTTTGAAAACTACCCACTCAAAAGAGACCTCTCAACATCTGATAAATTTAAGTTCTTCTTTAAATAGTGTAATTCCCTGCTGAAGATATTTTTACTGTATGCCAATCAGTTCTGTAATCGGTGGAGCTTTCACCATAAGCTCATCATAATTGTTGTAAAATTTTGACAGTTGATTCATATAAGTGGCTTCATTATATGGAAGGCTATTATTCTTAAGGTAGCTGGACACCACAGGCTTGATTTTCAGGCACATGTTATCAGACAGTCGTGGAAATAAATGATGTTCCACATGGCAGCTGATGATGGAATGGCCAAAGGAATAATCCAGAAGTGGATTTCTTGGCAGATTGAGAGCTGCTGAAGCTAATTGGTAGAGTCGTCTTGGGCGTTTCTTTACATCATACATGGGCAAACCAATGTGCTGGAAGATATTCACATGGATGTATGGAATGGCAAATACCGAACGAGTAGTGATCATGCAAAGGATGGTGCCCAAAAGGGACAATCCAGCTAAGTACCGGAACAAGCAAAAGTGCATGATGTAGCCAGCTGTTGCTATACAGAGAAACCTAGCAATTGAATACCAGCGTCCAGCGAGCAAGGTTATGCCTATTGCGGTGTTGAAGAGTGGCATGGACAGTGGAGCAATGAAGAGGTATGTAAAGCGGCCCAAGAATGGTGCTCGCCATGAGCTAGAATCACCCAAACCAATCACATTAGTGTAAGGGTGATGTAACTGAATATGAGCCTCAAAGCTGCCTTGTTCTGTAAAACCTCCCCAGATCTCAATGAAGAACACAGACAGAAGGCGGTTGAAGAAATGTGATGAGCCTGCCAAGGCATTGTGTACAGCTGCATGGGCCAGCTTCACTGTAAATGTGGCATGGACATAGGAGAACAGAAGATAGCCAGTTGCAAACAAAGGTATACAGCCAGATCCAATCAGAAAAAGACTGATAGGAAGAAGTGCAAAGTTTGCAAACATAATTGTTAAGTCAACACCATAGAGGTCCCACCAAGTACTATGTGAGACTACATCTTTGACCAGTAAGTTGAGTTGTTTCATGGATGGCCTATTCTGCGACATGTCCTCATCTTTCTTGTCAGCCTCCATCAAAAATTCTTCAGCCACATCATTCTTTTCATACGGGGGCATGGCTATTGCCAGTCTGACTGTTAATAATAGGGGGATGACTTCTGAAAAACAATCATAAAATAATTAAACTGGGAATGACTTCTGAAAAACTATAATAAAGTAATTGAGTTCTTAACAGGTGTCTTGTTCCTTTCACCAGTTTACTGAGAGATTTGATAATGACCTGTTATAAAATTAGCATTTCAAATGAGTTATTGGTAAAAAAATAAATTATGAATTTCTCCCTTTTTGCCAGAATATTTTCTAGAAGAGAACATGTTGACACTATTATGAATAGTATGTGTTGGAAAATTTCCCTTTACTTACGTACAGCAAAAGGTGTGACATGTATTACCTAACGCATACTTTCTAGTCTAAAAATCTAACTCAAAAAAGCACAAAAAAAATTTCAAAATACGTGTTAAGTAATAACATGTAGACTTATTTAGTCTTGTGAAATTTATAGCAGATTAAACACCTACAAAAAAAGAATTTGAAGCAAAATTAAGTAGCAGAGCTTAAAGTAAAGAGTTTCTTTTACTTTGGTAGCGTTACTGTAAAGCAAATTGCATAAAAATCTGCAAGAACAGTCTTTGTTTACAAGCTGTAATCCACAGAAAGCAACAAGGTGATATTGATATGCCTTCGGAATGCCTAATGACACCCGAAAAATTCTCAGGTACAAAACTGTACCTTTCAAACATCAATAAGAGAGCGACTGCTGATTTATGTTCGGTGTTCAAGCAACATGTAAATATCCTTTTTTGGAGCCAAAGAAATTAAAAATGTCACACAAGTGATGACATTTTTCTCAGTGCAAAGCAAATATTTCGCAAGTTCCTATATTGCCGTGGAGCGTATCTTTTTCCAATAGAGTTCGCATTAATTTTACATTTCTTAACTAAATCGAGTTTCCTTTGCGCCCCTGGCGGAAAAATCCTACATACCTAGTGACGTCCAGAGTGGAAGCTTATCGCTGGTCCGGGAAAGCTCCCTGGAGTAATATTTGTTTTGATTTGGTAATTAGGTTCAAAGTACGGATTCAACCGCGAAGGACTGGGAGTTTGAGGAGACGATACGTTGGGCCATACATGACAAGAGTGAAATGGAGGCAAATCTGAAAGAAAATGCCGTCGTGTGTTTTGTGCGATGGAGAAGTCTTTGACTGTATTGATGGACTGTATTACTGCCAAAGCTGTGGAACTCAGTCTCAGGTAACCACTTCAAGCTTTTCCTTTGTGTTAAAATGTCTTTCACGATCGATACAAGCACTGTGTTTCACTGAGGCCCACAACTGTCACGGCATTTACAAATACCTCACGGCAAACTCCACGACAAAACCAAAAAGCTCCCGGCTTCTTCAGTTAGAACGGAATTGTCCTTTTTCCTGTCTAAATTAACCACCGCTGTATAAGAACACAAGTGACGTATTGGTTTATGGTTAGCCATGACCTAAAATAACTTATAATAAAGCTCGGATATAACACGTACTGTCATTGGTTGAAAGAGCGTGCTCTATGAGAGTATAGAGCATAGAACTGAGCTAAAGCTGTCACGCCATCTGCCAAATCGTACTATGTCCGACCTTTTCCGGGACTTCTTTCTAGCTTTTCTTTCATTAATAAAAGTGAAATTTCGGAACAAGCAAGCAAAGGTTTGCAAAAATGCCAGGCGCAGTAATTTACGTTACTGTAACGCGAGCAGAGACAAAAATCCTCAAAGATAAAACAAGATAGACAGTCCGAGTTTTTTTAACGGTTTTCACACTCAGTTAGATTGCGAGTTTATGTACGGTAATAAAAATCAAACACAGCTAACACTTGTATAGTATATAAAGTTTCGATTTCAAATAGAAAGAAACAGGAATTATGAAAAATATAACCTGGCATAACTGTTAAAATTCATACTAATCATGACGGTGTCAAAGACTTAAGGTCTATCACGGCTAGCTAATCATGGCGATCTTCGGTCATCGCAGTGCAGCAAGCCTCAGGAACTAAGTCGACTACCCTTCGAGTGAAAAAATAAGAGTTTGTCCTGGTTACCTTTCCGATGCGTTGAGTGGAAGGCCAGATCAGTCACTGCAACCGAGTTTTACGGCGCTGTCATTCCGAGCGATCTTTTTGTCTTAGTGAATTTGGCTGTTATTCATTCATAATACACTCGCCTTGAACAATTTGAACTTAGTCTACTTGTAATGTGAAATAACTTGCGTATTTTTGTGAGCCACGATTGGGCCGAATTTCACTGAACATTTCACTTTCAGATCCTGTATTAGAAACTAAAAAACTTCAGGCAAAAGTGTTAAATTCGACGTGCCGAGCTATTTTAGTTTGTAAACTATTGCAGAATATGAACTTTGATGGTTTATGAACTTTGATGGTTTGACATTTTTGACAGCTTTAGTCTTGTACAGCCAATCAGATTATTTGAACCATTCTAACAGGAATTCTGATTGGCTTATTGTAGCGTGCTTTATGAGAGTATAGAGCATGCTGACGACACTGTTGTTCGCTTTGGAAATAAGATTTGTTTTGAAAATTGAAAGTAATTCTTGGGGAATTTAACAGATTCTTTATTATAAAACAAATAGAAAGTTTGACTGTGCTCTGTACTGTTGTAACGCACTTAGGAAGCGGCTAGAGCACTCAAGAAGTAGGGAGAAACACTCGACTACGTCTCGTGTTTCCCCCTACACTTCTTTTGTGCTCTAGCCGCTTCTTGCGTGCTTTACAACAGAACAGAGCACAGTCAAGGCTTCTCTATTTGTTAAATATCCTCAAATTCGGGCGAAAGATGCCTGAAATTTATGAATTAATTTTATGTTGGTTTTCATGGTGGCAAGGATGTAATTTTTTCTAATGGCGTAATCAATTGGCCAGCAGGGGCATGGGTAGGGAGTTTTCAATCCTCAGAGGTGAGATTTGATAATTAAAGTTTGCTGTTATGGAAAATTCACTCATGACTAAGAGAATAACCTGATTGGCTTGACAAGGTATTTTGAACAGTTATAATGTGCAGTAGTAATTCTTCTTCATTTTTATTTTTTTTGCATTTCATCTCTAATTAGGATATGAGAGATGAAGAGGCAGCAAATCCTTATGAAGCCGGAGTTGATAGCCGATTGCAGGTATCAAGGAAGGGCAAAGGTGGAAGACAGAAACAGTTTTGTGAGTCAATTTTTCCTCCTAATAATATTGTTGACTTAAAAAAATATTTATTATAAATTAAATGTGCATTACTTGTTTAATTATAAGGTTATGTTTTCCACTCTTTCAGTGTTTGATAATTCTTTGGGTTAACTATTGATCTTTTTGTTGTTAATTATGATTTCTCCAGTTGTTTTAAGTGATTGTCTCTTAGAGAGGAGTAGCACTTGGGCCCTGAGCTGTGTCAGTTTCAATAAAGAGTTGTTATTCTACGTTTTCCTCTAGGAAAAGAGATTCTTTTTCATTGATTTTCTTGAGATGTTAGCTTTGCAGATGATTATTGTACTAGTTATAATTGCTGGCTTTTTTACTTTCCCATATATTCAACAGTTGCAGATAAAGGGAAACCTTGGTTCATGTATGAAGCGTATCAGTACATCATTAGAGTTCAAGTGGAATATCTCATAAAACTTGGAGTCAATGATGCATTGAAGGTATCTCATTCATTAATGGCCTAATAGGAGGAAAGAAAAAACTAAGGAATTACATAGTATCTTCAGTTGATTATTGAAAAATTGTGAAAGCTTCAAACTGATTTTTTGATGGGCATTTTATTGATGGTTCAAATTGAACTGAAACCTATTTCTTCCCACTGACGTAACCATTAACCATTTCTTTCACAGTTCTATTGCCTTTCTGTTTTTTTTTTTTTTTTTTCTCCTATATTTAAAGCTTTCTGGTGGTCATATGTAAGAATACCCGAATTTCTTACTAGGCTATTTTTTTTTAATTGATAAGAGCAGTTTTTGATTGAGTGTCAGAAAATTAAAGTATTTTTAAAATCAAAACAAGCCATCAGGGCCAATCAAATTTAACACCATGGATAAGATTTGGATGATGACTCGTGTTTTGAAGTACATATTCAATTTATTTAGCCTCAAGCATTAAAAAATGCCAACAACCAAGTAATAATAGGCTACTTTAAAGTCTGGAAGCCTGAAAAGAAGGCCAAAAACAAGCCTTGAAAACATGAGTTTCATTTTCTCTAAAGATAAATTCAATAGAGTTATTTTCTCTTTAAAGGCTTGGCAACACCCTCATCTCAAACAGAGGCTCAGAAATCTTGCAAGTGGTGCACTGTTTCTATTTCACATCATTCTGTTGAGTATTAAGTGATCATGGAGATATTTTGCAGCAAAACCCATCCAATCCCATGTAACTTTAATTTCTCATTCAAAGTCTTCTTCCTCTCCTTAGGATGTTGTCTTCAAGCTGTGGTACAAGTATTTGCAGGTCACTGAAATTGCCTTCACTGGATCTCCTCAGGGAACTGTACCAACCAAAGGTTCAATTTTTTACCAGCGAGATGCTAATCTCTTAAACAGAAATCAAAGAAATAAGAGTGGACGCAAGAGAAAGTTGGATCCTTCATGGGAATCAGATGATGATGATGAATTAGAACTGTGTTCACACTTTAGCGATGAGGAATTTTACGATGGTAGTAACAGACTTTTTTATTGTGTTGTATTCTAGATTCAGCTGCATTGAAGATATGAGAATTCCTCCCATTTAATCCATGACCAAGAAATTGGATAGCCCAGAAGTGGATTGGATAGCCCAGTAGTCAATGTCACATTGAAGATTTCACCAGAAGCCATTGAGAACTCAGTGTACTCATTTGCAAAAATTTGTAGATCTTCTATTGACTTAACAGTTCGTGAATGTTACTCACAGGGTTGCCATGGTTACCAGCAGACCCAAAAGCAGTTCTTGATTCTGCTAACCTGTCAGCCCCCCCCCACCCCACCCCCCATGTTCATCTACTGTCAATGGATGACTTAGATGATACATTTGAAATTAACATCTAGTACCTCACCAGTATTTTACTTTTTCATACTTTTTCCTTACACTCCAGGTGATGATCCTTCAGAAGCATTGCCAAAACATGACAATGATGCTGATGATTTGAATCCAGGTGATGACTGGACTTCTCTCTGCCACAATAAAGAGATGGATGTTGATGATGTCTCAGACAGTAGTGAAGATGAATTTATTGGTTCCATGACTTGCCGTCAAACAAAAAAAAGAGGAGTGTTGTGCGGGCATGTTACCCTTCAGTCCACCTTAGCATTTTGTTATCTTGGCTTGCTGTGGATAGATGAACCAGTTTTTATCAGCGACTTGGTGAGGTAGGTGTGAAGGGTGATGTTCTTTCTTGTCTTTGAGTGTTTGCTGATCACAAATGATTTTAATCCGACTTCATTCTCACAACAAAGACTATGAGTAGTCCTTCCTTTCTGACCAAATTGGTTGCAAAAGTTAAAAAAATTTGCAAAAACAAAATTGATGTTTGCACAGTGTGCCTCACTCCCAGAGTGTTAACATCAATTTTGTGTTAGCTGATTTTTTAATTTTTGTTTTTTTAACTTGTTGCACAGATTTCACCAAAAAGGAGGGACTACTACTCATTTATTTAACATGAGACTTGAATGCCTCTAGAAGTTTAATTTGCATTGCTTTTAAATTAGGTAGGTTCATGTATTGAAAACTTAGACATAAAACTTAAACATAAAACTTAAACTTAAACATAAGTGTAGGGTGTCATTTTTGTTACTCTCATGTTCTTGTGATTGCTTTAAGATTTGGAAATTTCTTTACAGTCATAATTTTTGAAAAAAAAATTTGCAAATTATCATAACTTAAAAATATTTTCAAACCAACCAACTCAAATGAAGAAGGACTTTCAGTGTACCTGTATTATTTACCAGATGGGCCAAACAAGGACAGTTTCCATACTTCCAAACAACAAGACACATCCCTGGGCACATGAAGTTTGGTTCTGGTGATTTTAGCTGTTTATGTCCAGTCATGTAAGTGAACTTCCAAGATCAGTTTCTTCACTTTCTTCATTTTGATATTTTAGTTTTTGTAAGTTGTTAAACTGAGATGTCAACACTAAAAAGAATGAAAAATTACTTGTCTGATGAAAGTATGAAAACAAAGTCAGGCCATTTTTCAGGTGGTTGGGTCTTTCTTTCAAACTGTATTATAAATCTTTATCTCACTAGTTATTCAAATTCATTTACCAGAGTTCCACCAGTATCGTCCATTCTTCGACATGCATCAAGGATTGCAAAACTATTACAACTTCCGTGTTTTCCAGAACCTAAATTATCCACCTACACTGCACGTTTTATCACAGATCTGCATCTCCCAGGTAAGAAACAGCTGTAGGATAAATTTCACTGCAACCAGACTCTATGATATTTCATAATCAACGCAAGAGGCTCAGCCGAAGGTAATTTGAAAAATTCCTTGTTCATTCTAAGACCAGCACGTGGGGGAGCGGAGAGCTCTTGCCTCCCACCCGGGGTTTTGAAAACGATACAAAATAATTACCAGTCAAAGAAACAAAATCAACTGGTTAGGGTATTAGAAACTGCTTCTCTAATGTATAAATTTTGAGTTAAAAATATGGTCTCGGACCCGTAAAGCTCTTCTGTTTTCATTCAAGATGGATGTTTCAAAAGTTTTAAGAATTATACATTAAGACCATCAGCTTAAGAAACAAAATGGACTGGTTAGAGTGCTATAACCTGCTTCTCTATTTCCAAAATTTTGATTTTGAAATATGGCTTCGTGCCCGATAAGTTGCCAAAACGTTCAAGAAGTGGGCCCCTAGCGTCACATGGGGTTGAGTTTTTTGTGGCTTCTCGTCGTTGCTCCGGGGGTTTCTCTTAAGGTCCTCCGGTTTTCCTCCCCCTCAAAATCAACATTTCCAAATTCCAATTCGATCTGGAAACAGTGGACAACGTGAGCCAACTTGTGAAATGTCTATAGGTAAATTCCCTTTGTTCCCATTTGATTTGTAACCAGTAGAAAACTGAGCTCTCTGTCTACGATAGCCCTTCGTCAATCGCTTTGACGAAGGGCTAACGCTCGAAACGTCAGCTTTTTTACCCTTTACGGTGGCCAATTTGCGTTTTCAACTCAGTTGTTAACACTAAATTACCTGCCATACTCTCCCACCGACCCAGCACCACAGTTTCTTTAGAAACTTAACCCCTTTATTTTTATGTTTTATAACAGGTTTTCTTCATGGTGTAGTGCGCAAACTAGCAGAAAAGGTGAAAGTTAAAACCAAAATCCACCCAGCTCTCCAGACCTCCATTCCAAATCTTGAAGCTGGTGCTATGGCTTTCATTGTTGTTGCCTTGAAACTCTGCTATGGAATTGACGACAAAACAGAAAAGTAAGCACAAATAAAACTAAATAATTTGTAAACAAAATATCCAAAAAAGAAAAACAAAAAACAAAGATTGAAGCTACAAGGTAGGCATGCATAGAGTTAACTTATCGAGGATCAAATTAGTGATTCCAGTTTTTAGTTTGGCGACTGTGCTGGCAATAGGCAAATTGAAATCCATTTGGTTTATTTGGTCACAGCTGCTACGTGAAATGGGGCTATAGTTACTGCGTTAATAGAAAATATGTAAAATAAAATAACAGTTGGGAAAAGGAAAACTCGAGACTTTTGTAGCACAACGCTTAATTGATGGCAAGTATCCTGTTGAATTACCATTTTTGTCATGCTTCATAAAAGCAAAAAAAAGTAACACGCTTTTAAAACACTCGTGGCATACCGACTTGTGCAGTTGTTTAACACTTACAATTTGATTCTGACAGCCCGTACTGTTAAAATTTTTTTTACATGCACAGACGTTTGAATGCTGTGTGGAGTGTGATTATTTCAGGCCTTATCTGATCCTTTGACCTTTAAGAGTGATTAACATCTAATTTCCCCTTACCATATCACTGCTGAATCAAACATTAGGGTCACAAGAATTAAGAAATGATCACAAAGTTGATTGTTAAATAAACTCTCCTTGTCAGTACCTTAGGAAATGTATAGAGAACAGTATGGAGAAGATATTATAAAATAATTCAAATAGTACGTGCGCTCTGATTGGCCATAAAACCATTTTACATGAGCGTATGTAAACACGGTTTTCGTTCCTCTTTCATTAGTTATTTTATAAAAGAAATGTAAAATGGTTTCCGTGTTTACATAGCCTGATGTAAACACTTGGGAGGTTGGGAGAACACTCGATAAGCTGGAAACCGCTCCGCTTCGCGTCGTGGTTTCCTACGCTTATCTCGTGTTCTCCCAACCTCCCGCGTGTTTACATCAGAATATGCAAACACGGAAACCATTTTACATTTCTTCATTGATATTGACTGACTGATATTGGGGTGTAGAGGGTCAATATACTTTGTAAATCCTGACTCGTAGGGAACAGGAAGAAAAAGCCACACCCATGGAATCAAGCTCAAAAGAAGGAACTTGTCACACAATTCCCCTGTTCACTGATTGGCTGAAAAGCTGGAAACATTGCGAAGCCAAGAAATTTCATAATGGTATTCCTTGGACAGATGAACAGTTTAAACTTGTTGGTGACCCTACGTCATACAGCGCGTTTTGTAAATCGGACATTTCTGGTTCGTGGGAGCCAGCCGACCGCGTTTACACCGGAAGTCAACAGAAAAATTTGCGCGCGAACCGAATCACGAACGAGGAGAGCCAGAGCAGGTATGCACAACTGTTCAAGAGCTTAATGACACGACAACGGGACGAGGATTTCAGTAGTACGGACACGCCCCAGGTTACAAGTTTTCCCGCCACGTGCAGACATGTGGACGACTCCGAAAGTGGCACTGAAAGTTGTTTCGACAAAATGCGTTCGCGTGGAATCAACGTGGAATTTGCCCATGGGAGTGGTTCAGTTGAGGGTAATGATTTGAAGTACATTTGTTACTCAGCAGACCATGCTGATCAGGACACTTATTTTCATAGTTCGTACAGAGAGCTGTTGGGTGTTTTGGCAGACCGCATAGAAATGAGGCCTGCAGATGTGCAAACTAAAGTCCGCAAACTAGAAAAGGCTTTGTTTTTTAAACAAAATCTTATTAATGGAGTGTTGTGATCGACTCGAACTGTGGCAGCGTTTAATCAACAGAAGAGTACTTATCATTTAGTAAATCTGTTCTTTCCAAAGCAGGGAGACTTCTTCTTAGGGAGGTTGGCACTTGTTTTTCCATTTTTTACTCTACTAATATTCATCTTGAGCTATTTATCCATTGGTTTGTCTATTGATGTAAGTCTCGTCTGGTAAACTCTTCTCGCGAACCTTTTGGAAATTTCAAAATTTGAGACGAGTGACTTTCTTTTTTGCCTTAAATGATATTCTTAGAATAAGAAATTTATTATGTGAAGATGTTTCTATTTTTTTCCTTTTCTTCTTTCTTTCTTTCTTTGTTCAGAAATCTCGAGCCACCCTCCTAATCAATCAGATGCTAAGTCAAGATAAAAAAAACGACTTACGTTTTTCGGCGCCAACACTCCTTTATTTTGACTGGTCATCGAGATTACTTTACTGGTTTTTCGAGTTAGGACACTTAAGCCCAACGCCTGCGGAAGCAGTTTGACAAATCTGATAAAGTCAGAAATATCACCCCGCTCCAAACAAATCGTTGTCTGATACGTAGCTGCTTCGTGAACATTGTCACTTAAATACCATGAGAACAAAGACCTTTTTTTTTATTTTCATGAAAAGAAAAAGATGCAAAATACTTTATGTCGGTAAACTTGACTAATAAACAGTGAATACAAGAGGGCGATGGCTAGTCATAATTATATCATTCTGTAGCGAGAACTTCACCAGAAAGAGCATAAATATCTTTAAACATCCCTCATAAAATCTCTACATTTAACCTCTTTTTACAGAGTGTATGTTTACAAACTTGTGACCAGAGGTCTGATGTGGCCTTCAAGTACAACTGTCCTGTTATGTCCTCAGACCGAGTAGGGTCAACAAAGCGTAATATTAAAACGGGCATCTGCAGACTGGGGGTAAATAGTGATGTCCATCCTCAATGAAGGGGGGGGTTGAGGTTGGGGGGAATATAACAGTGGCCAGTGCTTCTCTGTCAGTCTCCGGCACTGTCGTCTTGAGTAGGTTTTCTGTCCGTACTCCAAAGGCTCGGACTTCCACTCATAGGGCTGTTACCAAAGTCTCCGTCGTCGCCGACACCATTGCTGGCATCATACTGAGTGTTCTCCAGTCTGAAAGTGGAAATCAAAGATATCACTGATACGATTGGTCACGACGGATGCTCTAAATAGTACTCGTGTATATTTAGCAATGACTAAGATGAACTTACGAAAGAAAAGAAAAAAAAACTTTTCCCTTTCATTCGCGAGAAGGGAAATATTCCAACACTTGATCTCCAGTATCTTGATAAAGATTTGCGTCTTACATCCCTCTCCCGGCCTTTCCCACAATACTTGGGGGTAAATTGTTGATGAAACCGCTTTATGCAATGCTCATCTCAACATTTAGAAAACTTGTCTCATGTGAATCTATTAAACAACGCCGTTGGATCTCGATAAATGTTTGTCATAATATTTCATTTAAGCGAAATCTAAGATCATAATTTTCGAGTGTTACTTCGATTTTTAATCTGCAATTTTTATCAAACAATAACAGAGATACCACGGGCTTTCTGATTGGTCGATACACGTGTTTAGACTAGGGTATGTAAACGCGGATGTGACGTTCTCGATTATCACATATATTTTGAGAAATATCGTTTGAAAGCAAAATAACTCTTCTCTGTGGTTATGTAACCATCGCAAAGTTGGAAGAACTCTCGAAAGTAAGGAAACCCCGAAACGCGGATAAGCATAACTGTCTCGCAGTCTCCCAGCTCCCGTCGTGACAGACGAAGTTTTGCACACAAAGAAAAAGTCTTCTATCGCTTTAAATACAGTGCAAGGTCAGAGTTGTCGTTCGGTTCACCCTCCCTCTTCAATTTCCCTCTGACAAAATAACACAATTTTAAAATAAAACGGCTCGTGAATATCGACCTTACAGTACGTAAATCAACGGGAGGAAACAGTTACAACGCATTCACCAAATGATCCCCTATTTACATTTATCGTAATTGGACAAATTCTGCGAGGTGTTATCATCAGCTCATTATCTATTTGTCAGAGGTAAATTAATGCGAGAGGGAGGATAAACACTCACCGAGGGCCTAATGTCAAGGAAACTGCTCTCACCATCATCACAACCCAATCTGAAGTGAAGAAGAACCGTTACTGGATATTCACACCCCACATTTTAATCCTCTGTCCCCTGGAAGCGACTAACATCTAAATTCTCCTCACAATATCACCCCCTGAATCACCCATAAGAGTAACAAGAATAAAGGAAATGATCACCAACTAAAAAAGCTCTTGACTGTTAAACAAATTCTCCTTGTCAGCACCTTAGGAATTTATAGAGAGCAGTATGGAGAATATACATACTGATGTTAGAGTGCAAAGGGTTAAGAATAATCTACATGAACTATCTATGCATATTACCAACGGCAGCATTTCAAATAACATTATAAAGGGTTAAATGAGGGAACAAACTACTATTAAAAAAAAGCCTACAAAAATCAAGGCTTCGACTAGATTTAAGTACCTGGCTCCCACACATTAATTCGAATCTCGTCGAAGCCTGCTAGTTTTTTTTAGCAGTAGTGCAAGGTCTCATTGGAACTTCTACGTTTTCCTCAACAGCCGCATTAACACTCGCTGATTTCCTTTTCAACTTTTCCTTTAATGTTGCTCGACAGTAAAACGAAAACGCAACATTTTATCCTTAGTAGACACCGACGTGGGCTTTCGAACAAGAAGTCGTGTCCTGGGAAAAGGGTGTTCTTTACGTCGAAGGCGAGTGGCTAGGTTGCTGAGCAAGAATCAAAATGGCGGCCTCCATAATCGAATTTTGAGCACACTTGAAGTCAATTCTTGAAACCTTAAAACGCGATCAGTTTTTTTGAAATTTATAATACTTTCGATAACGCAGGTAAAACTTACTGGGTTCTGAAGTACACTACACCCATAACTTAACTTCTGGTTTAGCAAATTTTCTTTATCAAATACTACTGACACGTTTTCTTCGCTAATGAATAAAATAAAAGTTCCCTTGACATCTGCACCACATGTTACGAGAAACTAACTAGTGTGAGCACGGCTTAACCTCTTTTTATCAATGACAGAACAACATTTCACCTTGTAATGAGCCGCTCATCTTCGTCTCCGAATTCGCCGCCCATCAGAGAAGGTTCGCCGACAACCATTACATCCTGGGTCGCCAGAGTAAACCCGGACGCACTTGGCGACTTCTTTTTGCTGGAAGTGCTGTTCATCCCAGTATTAGGGGTCGATGAGTTTGCATTTGTAGGTTTCCGTTTCCGCCTTGCCCTCGGAGCACGAGGCGTTTCTGCTGGTGGGAAACAAGAAACTTAATTCATTAATTTCAGGAATTGTAGGAGAGCAATAAGAAAGAAACCAAACTCACAAAGGGAACCCTCGGTTTAGAGCGAGTTAATGAAGATAACAATTTAAACTGCTGCCTTACTAGCTTGCTTGCGGGTAAGATGTCTCCCATCTTCATCGTCACCCTATAGTTACCATTATCACTTAATCCACTCGCAAAACTAGAATTTGTTGAATTCTAAGATTTTTGTTTTACTTAAGCTAAGGACAGATGTGTACCAATATTCTTTATTCGATGAAGGACTAAGCTCAAAATTTTTACTCTATCTTGGCTTGGGACGCTTTTGACATTGCTGATTCTAGCAGTATGAAAGACGCGCGTCCCATTTCAAATGGCCTGACGCACCACAAAATTCTCTGTGGCTTAATGATACAACATCAGACGATAAAATGGGGAGTGGCTGGGGTAATATCCTCATACAAGGCCTAACTCCGTGGAAATTTATAAGACAAAATTTCTACTAAAATGTCTGAATAGGAAATGGAAAAGTCCAAGGTGAAAATCCTCACATGGTACTTAGACTTAATTTTTTTTGGTCTAACGCTCGCGACTAACTTGTAAACAATATTTCCTATTAAGACATGGTGAAGCGACCTCAGGAAAATAGGTAGACTTGAATATTGATAGCAATTCTCTGGAAAAATGTGTTGCGTACGCGGATTAGGGGATTTTTATTTTGTTTTTGCATTAAAGTTGGAAAATTAAATTATTTACAATATTTCTAACTTATACGCCTTCTTAGTACGAAAAATTTTTCAACAGCGAAACGTTTTCAGCGAAACAATGATTTCACTGTTGCAAAATATAGCATACTTTTTTTGCAACAGCCTTGTATTAATTGAAAAGGTCAATTCTGGGAAATTGGTAACACTAGGATAAGATGCTTTAAAAACATCAACCAGGGCACAGAAGAGCCCAAATCTGCTTTACAATTGTGCAGTTGGGTTTCTGAAAAACAGAAGACACTTGAATGTTGTCTGCAATGTCTACTAAAAATACACAGTGCAGCTGCAGTTTGGATCCCTGTTTTAAGTATTTCATGCTCTCTCTAAGATTTCAAACAGTGTTTGACCACAAGATTTGACTCCGCAAGACTGATTCATTTTTAAAACAGAATTAAACTGCAAAATTCCCCAGACAAAAGGCCTTAAGACGATCGTAGTCAAGTATCAAGCTGGTTTTCCTGTGGAAAAAACGTTGGCTACCCTATGTTGACCAAGCCAGTCTACCTATGATCAAACACTGTTTAAGATTGGAACTGAGGCTAACCTTTTTTGGAAGCAGGCTGCCCAGTCAAGGTTCTCTCAAGAAGTTTAGGAAAAGGGGATCCTTTGGGGTAAAACAGGTATAAATAAGATGTGTGCTCGTCTAATTTAGGATCATCATCCAGCAGCCATTTTTTACTTACATGCATTGGATAGGTTAAAAAAATGGCTCCTTATTAAAATACAGTCCTAGCTGCCATAAAACAGTCTTTCAACCAAGATGGCCATGTTTAGGGGCTGAAAGTACTGGCTTCTCAGCTGAGTACTTATTTACATGACTTTACACTACTGCAATAAAGGCCCTGAATGACAGGTCTTATGAGCATTCTTGTCTGAATCTCATCAACTGCTTGAGCAATTAATGAACATGCACAAACTTTACATCACCAATGGCCATTTGGGACATTTTTGCCATGGCTCAAAAGAAACTGATCTTGGGCATATGGGTTCTGACTATCAGGGCTTTGGACTCTTCAATGTAAATTTAAAAGTAAACTGGCCAAAAAATAAAATTAAAAAAAAAAATCAATGTTCTCAACCACCACTTTGGCCAAATGCCAAAAAATTAGTTACTTTGGAAATCTTGCAAAATTTTCTGAGTAGCCCTGATAGTGAGTTTACAAAAACCTTACAAGGATAACCTTATCGAATGATGAAAGGAATTCTGCTAAACACAAGCAACCAATACAAACATGTTATGTTTAAAACTAAAAAGGAAATCAATAAAATCAAAGGAAAATAATACTAAGTTAGCAAAACCTACAGAGTGAAACCAAATTAGACAAAACAAGACCTTACCTGGTGTAGTTGGGGTATTCGGCTGCCACATCATTTCATTGCCTTGATTATACTCTGTGGTAAGATTTGCAAAGATATGTATGTCAGGATCAATCAGTTAGCTCAGCTTGTGCAGAGTGGTAATCATTTTTCAAATTATATCCTCTAATTCCTTGCTTGTTCTGCATACCCTCGTTATCTATCTTATCTAAGAGACACTTTGGACACTTAAAGGTATACTTTTTATTTTTCAAACTTTTCATTTTTGAATTATCCTTCAGTATCACTATTCTAGTTTACTTTGTTTGGTTTTATTTCCCTTCATAAGTCATACTACATATTTTTCAGGGTTGTCAAAAAGATTTTGTGTGACCAAATTGTGATGCAAAGTATGCCACACTAAGGGTAATAAATTTCATGCTTCCATGCTGTATATTTAGCCACAGACATTTGCAATAGCTGGCACCTTTTTCAAGGTAGACAGCAAAATGTGCTGGTTGCCAGCTTACTTTGACAATCCATTTTTCACAGGAAAGTGTTGGAAACTGAAAAAGAAAACTGTCTCTCATGTTTGATCATACAGTTAAGGGAAGTCCTGTAGAAGACTGTTTCAATGATCATCATTTTGACAACCCCCAGCAAAATCATCATCAGACTTAAATTTAGCCTCTTATTATGAATTCTGCTCAGTGTGTCATAAATTCAGTCTCTGTTACCAACAGTAGTCCTCTTCAGAACTAACTAAACCTGGGCAATTACAATTTATTTAAATACATTCTAAATTAAATTAGAAACCATAGAGCAAAGTTACCAAAAATTTGAAATAAAATGCTATGCCAAATTCTAAAAAGAAATCAGTTCAAACTCTGAAAACCCAAAAAAGCAGAATAATATAATTTGCTCATTACCTGGAGGGGCGCACATTCTTTGCCATCTCTGGAAAAGAGTGGATTTCAAACAATCTGCAGACACAAAAAATCATTTTTGTCTAAATTTTGAACATTTGAAGTTTTATTTCATACTATGCATGTTGCATAGATAATCAAAGATAAATAAGTAACATTATACGAAAAGTCTTGGCAAACGACAGAAACAAATGATGTCCTTTCGGATTGGCAATGATCTGTTCCTTTAAGAATACTTGTTTGAAATCTTATTGGATGCCTAATCAATATCCCTTGAGCCACTTCAGATGAGCTTCGCAAACTCCTATTTCACTATGAAGATCTTTCATTAAGATCTGTAAAAAATGATGGGAAAAAGTCCCTTTGCAGCTTAGAACTAAATACAGGTTCAAATCATGAGACTTGCAGTAGCTCACCTCTGGGGTTCATGTTGTAGGTTTTGTGACGAGACATGAGCTCTTGCATTGGCTCCAGAATGACGCAAAGCTGTAAGAAATTCAACAGGTTTGTTTTTAGAAAGAATTATAATGGGAAAGCCAGAAGGATAACATTACACAGGCAACAAATTATCAGCACCGACTGGTTTGTATAGCAGATTTTAGGGAATATTCCTTTATCATATTTATATAGCCATGGGTGTGTTGCATCACTCATACATCGGTTTGCTGCCTGAGCAAAGCTCTCATCACAAAAAAATTTAAATAAAAAAGGTTGGAAAAAAGTTTTATGAAGAAAGAGTTGTACATTATTTTATATACCAGGACCAAAGTATTTTGAGAAGAAGAACCAGTTATTAAAAAACAAAAAAAGGTCATGTTAAAATTCACATTTCAGCATTCAGTGAATGTTTCTGGGTGTGCTGTGAGGGAACCCATAAAGAGACCACAATGACCTGAGTTTAGAAATGACATTCCCTTATGACTTTACCTGAACTTCTCCAAAATAAAATTTCCCATTCTTACCCTTAGATAATTCAGGGTGACATTTGTCATTCCTTGTCTTGTAATATTCTTGGACAACTGATCCAAAAAGTTTGGATCTTGAGCCCCAACAATGACATTCCGTGGGATCATTTCAGTGTAATGCCGAATGGCAAAATGCCAGTTTCTTATCCTCATCAGTTCATCCATTGTGAACTCCAGTAACAAACGGCCTTCTGTACAAACCTGCAACATGACAAGAACATACATGTATGATGTGTTTGTCAAAAAAGGTCTTTCATTACTTAACATAAATAGATCAAAATTCCAGTCTAATATATCAGGAGGATCAGGGGTGGATCAAGGGAGGGAGGTTTACTTCTCAAACAATCTCCATCCAACCCCCCCCTGCAATTAGACATTAGACAAATCTAAAAAAAAAATATCAATATTCCATCATAAGTCTGGTGGGGAAAGGGGATATGGACCCTTCAACCCTCCCTCTAGGAGTCACTGGGACCATCCTGTTTGTCTACTGGAGGGCAAATACATATTGTATATCACAATCTTTCAATCAATGCAAAATATAGATAAGTACAGCTATGGCTGAAAATTAATGTGTCACTACTGTTAATAGTGTCACATGAATCAATTTGACTAATCACCTCACAGGGAAAGAACAGTGATTTCAAACTAAATTCAATCATGTCAACAAATGCTCAGGATGGAAGGAATAAAAGATGACTGAGAAGTGTTTCTGCTAATTCGGTTGGTCACTTTTGTGTTTACACTAAAACTGTAAAATTTGGTTTAAAAGTTTCATTTTCCCTGAAGTCACTTCGGCCAAACAAATGTGAACTGAATCTTAACCCAGCAGAGATAGACATGCAACTCCTCTCTGCAACATCCATACTTTGGTAGGCAAAGAGATAATGAGACTACTCAAACTAATCCGGTAAAAGTTTCAATCTTGATCTAACACCCAATTCTTGTAACCAATTTACAAGGAAATGTGTAACAACTAGAGAGGAGAATTAACCACCAGATCTTTGAAGTTGAAGGGTTAACATGTAAATTACTGTACCCTGTCACACAAAGGTCACTAAAATTAAGAATTGTTGTCACTATTGAATTGAAAATTTAATTGTGTATCTGTTGTACCACGTCTTATCTTACTACAAGGAAAGCTTCTCTATGTGACAAATTTTCAATTTTTAGTCCTCAATTTGGACAAGGTTATGAAGTGTTTATGTTTATCTAATCAAAACTTAAGACCACCCAACAAGGAGCAGACCACCTGTGATACAAACCTTGGTGAAGACTGGCATTTTATGATGTGTAATCATCGTTGTATTTTCACAGTCCAATGTTATTGTACTAGTGTTGTTGTGGTAGGACTCTTTTGGCTGCACCACATGATAATACAGTTCTTTCACTCCCCCTTCAAATATACTTCGGAAATATCTTGGAATCAAGTTCCGTCCAATAGCTAAAAGAATTGAAAAAAAAAAAATGTTAAAATGTTAAAAGTGTGAGACCAAAGAGCAATGCACTCTCCCTGTAAATATTTCTATCACACTCCCATATAAAATTGTATATTGTTCCAAATGCCTTAAGAAATCCCAAACATACCTATACTGGTGAAAAGAGGCTAACACAGCCCAACAGTTCTCTCTATTCACCCAAAGTTTTGTTTCTCCTATTTAACAATAATTTGCTTTAACGGATAAATAGACCAATCAGAAAAAGGACAACAGCTTCTCTATGGCACTACTCTCATCAATATTTAGGAAGTTACAGACTGTGACATATTTTCCCAGCATTTTCTACCAGATTCTGAAATTCAAGTCTTGCAAATCTAGTTATATCCAAGTAAAGGGGTAAAAAAGTTAACAAAAAGTTAACAAAAATGACTAAAAAATATGAATAAAGGTGTGGTCATTAAGGATTTAAAGAGGCTCTAAGTGAGACATACAATATCTTTTTGGCCCATCTTCCAAGCAAAAGCTTAATGTCAGGGTAGCGTCATCATCAAAAAATTCTGATGCAAATGCATCCCACCAAACATTATCAGCATCCTGAAATAAAAAGAGATTAGCAGACATTAACCTTTAACACCCTAACATCGTTATGAATATTCTCCACACTGTTCTTGATACATTTCTTTCCAAACATTATAAATCTTTTTTCATAAATGCCTCTCCTTGCAAGTTTTCATGGAGTACAAGATGTTACCACTTTAAGTAATAGGAAATGATATCTTCTGTCAATGGAATTCTTCAATCTGTGATATAAATTTTTGTGGTAACTTTTCGGTTTACCTGACCCAAATATATATGGACCACTCCTTACACTTGTGTTTTCAAAACAAGGTGGATTAAGTTTCACTCTAAGAAATTGAATTGTATAGTTAAGTGAAAGGTTGGTGTGTAAAATTTCCTAGTATTAAACATGTTCAGAAGCTTAGCTATTACAGATGATACTTTATATATTCGTTTAGACTGTCTTGTGGTGAAACTTCTCTTTGGTATGTATTTTGGCTGTAAATAATGGGCTTGGTTGCATTATCAATGAAGTAGGGAAGAAAAACTTAAACAGGAAGAGCTTCTCATATTTCTCTAAAAGGATCAGTAACAGCAGTTTGACAAGTGACATGAAAACAATGGGCTAAACTACCGACAGAATATTTCAGCAATTGTTAAGTATACTAAGTAGGCATTAATAATGTTTTGAAGATCATTAATAAATTCATTTTGGAATGGACATATCGTTATCTGACTGTATGCCTAATAAAATTCATTTTAACGGACTGTAAAGGTTAGGAAAGCTATGATACAACTCCTCTGCAACCTCCTTGCTTTCCTTTTATTTCACCAATCAAAAACCTCACGATCAATATTACTTTATCTCTTTACTGGGTACAAAGAGCAAAACATATTGTATTTTGCCATCACTTGAATACTACAATAAATAATGGAGAGCTATCGTAGGCCTTTGTTAGCAAGCCAGTTCCCTTTCGAGGGTAAATCTTCGGCAATTTCAGCCTGTAAAATTAAACTCGAGTGAAATCTGTCCATATGACCCCACAGACAGTACCAACGATCGTTTCCTAAGTTCGTGACGACCCTCGCGGTGAAAAACATATCTGCTTTTGCCTTTCACGGTACAGTAACAAATGCTAGCAACCCTTGACATCGCCTTACCTCTATCCGGTGCTGTAAGCGACGATTGAGCTCATAGATTCTCACATCTGGATGGGTGTAATACGGAGTATGACGCCTGAAGTGAGAAGGAAAGATTGGTAAACGATCGATTAACTTTTTGCGCCGTGTCGTTTCGATCCTATTATACAAACTCAATAAGCGGCAAACACGCAAAGAGAACGAGTTGCAAAACTGCAAAGCACCCACTCTGAAATCAAGCTATGTCTATTACGCTTGCATGCATCGATGATCACGACGGAAGCAAGAAAAATGCGTCGATCCAAAGCGGGTTTGCTGCAGCGTACCGTAAAATAAAAAATTATAAAGATTATGCTGTATAGTTTACCCCGTTGAATAGCTTGGGCTTGGAAGCGGGACACTGGGCATCCTCCAGTTCCAAGAATCGGCCGTTTTCGAAGCGTTCGAAGCCTCCCCGAAGCTTCGATCAGAAGTTCGAGCGTCTGTTTGAGTGTTTGATGTCCAGCAGGAAGCTGTGCGAAGACTTGGTTGAGCTGAATAACGTTCGAACAAAGAAAGCGAGAGTCATTACAATAACAAAGGGTCACTGAGCCCGATCGAATTGCACAAATGTACGCTTCACTTCATGTGATCGTTTTAAGCTTATAACTACATTTGTGCCTTAACAAACTTTACTCAGATTAACCTTTATAAAAGTTAATTCAGGCGCAATCTTTTGCAGAGAAAAAAGGATCGATAAGTTTTTCTGACCCACTGCTAGTCACCGAACAAAAATCATGCGTTCCTTTCACCAACTTTCATTCAGGTAAATATTCAAGGCTAAATATAGTCAGTTTTAGCTTGGTATATACAAAGGGTAACGCAACTAAAGCTGGCGCTTGGTTCCTCGATCTTGCCTTTATCTAATTCCGGATATCGTGGGTGATTTAACAGGATATAGATCACATAACACGTAAAGTGAGTCGCAATTTCACATGGCCACTTAATCCTCCGGTTGGTTGTTTTTGTGAATGACCATCGCCAGTTGACAAATGTATGATTTGAAGCTTTCACAGTATCAACAAGTGTGGCATACAACTCCGAGCAGTAAGAGCCACCGTTAACTTACCCGCTTCTGGTTTAACTGGACGCTGTCCAAGCTCTTCACTCGTTAAATAACATGTCTTATAACGTCCAACGTACATCCATTTGTTTATGGTATAAGTTTGGTTCCCTCATTTAAGAAGGACAAAACAAAATGTCTGCTCTATTGCGAGGGTCGCTCAGCGCGGTGCTGAAACAAGCACCAATGTTTGCTGAACTCTGATTGGACAGGTCTCCGCCAATGAAAGGTGAGTTAGACATTTGCCGCGAAACAAAAGTCAAGTTGACAGAACAGGTGGTAATGTTGTTGTCAAGTTAGAGACTTACTTTCTGACGGTTTTCAAACCTCAAATATTTCGTTCAAAAACCTCTTACTTGAGGAAAAGAATTGATAATTCAAAATACAAAAATTTCAGTTCAACAATTTCAGGTTGTAACTTTTTTTTGTCCCTAACAAAAGCAGCAACATGAACGACAAAAAAAATTACAAGGATCTAAACCGGTGAGAGATTCATCGAGTCTCTACATCCTAGATCAATAGGAATAGGAAGTTCTTTTGAACTGCATCAAAGCCAATCAGTCTCGCATTATACGCAAAAAAAAGGAAAGAAAATTATTTCGCTATTTCCTAGCCATTTTCGTTCTTAAGCTTGCCATTTATAAAATAACTGAGACACGGCAACAGTGTTTATTTAAGTTCAACCACTTTAATGTAACGTCACTTCGTTCATTTATGTGTGTGAGGGCGTAGGCTATGATTTGCCATTAAAGGAGTCCTTCATTAGCTTCCTATTTGCATTAAAACTAATGCAAGGTTGTCTCCTATTAAGATAATTACATCGAAATCATCGTTATTCCTGTCGAAAAGAAGGTTCAAATACACATGCACTCTGGGACCACACCTTAGTTTCACAGTGATAATTGCATAAGTATGTCACGGGTTGTTGACAAAGTTAAAATTTACATTAAGTTTAATACAAACCCTGCAGATTAGTTCTCTATCTGCACGAAAGCAAAAAATTTTTATAACTCATCGAATATTTCCCTCGAATAAACGAACACTAATTTATAACTAAATTTAAGTATTAACGATAGTTGTGCAAGAAAATAATGATTAAATATCATTAGAATTAATATCTTATAAATAGCTCGGTTGATGGTTACAAATCACTTCTCAATAACTATCTGAATCAAAGTGTACCTATGAGTTAATAATTTTTCCAGTTATTTTTTTAAAGTACACTGTATGTGACTTGTACTTTTACTTCAAACCGATAATTTGCAGGTCATTTAGAATAAAGATGTAACAAAAAAAAACCCGAATCTTCTCTAATCAACAACTGAAACGGATTTATTTTGAACTGCTGGCGTTCTACTTAGGTAACTTCAGCATCGAAGAAATAGCTCATTATTTATCTGAAAAAATAACCAACGAAGAAATTTTATGATCATATTTTCAAACACTGGCAAAACCCACGGCATCTTCATATGTCGCCATGAGAAGACTTCCGGTGTTCGTTAATTTTTGTACTAACTTAGAATGTACCTTGGCGTCGTTCAAAGTTCGCTCTGTGGATTATGAATATTTGAACTTAAATCGTATCTATAATTTGAACAAAGAGTTTTTTTTTAATTGCACCTTGAAAAACACTTATGACGACGGATTTTCACAAGCTAATTATCCTAATCATACTGGTTAATCAAGGTTCACTACTCTCCTGTAACACTCGTCTTCGTCGTAGACCCTCAAGCAGCGAAAATGATGTTGATGAAATCTCTGCAAAACTGACTTATTCAAATCGTAAATGAGACCTGTTTAACCCTAAATTAACTTAATTTTACTACTTTGTTCTTGAATTTTCTTTCAAAAAGCGGGCCCTGAATCGTAAAACTCAGTTCACGTGGTCGATAAGTGTGCTCAATTCAACAGAGAGGAAAGCAGAATTTGTCGGTACAACTGACGAAAGGTTAATCTGTATAATTGCAAATTTTTTAAATTACGACAACTCTTGATGGATCAAATTGATTCGCTCGAGTACTATATTTACAACGTCATGAAGAGGATTTTGAGACGAAACTGCGTCAGTTGTAAGTACAGTAATCTATTGGCGATTAATCGGCTATTTACAAGTAAAACTCCCACCGCAAGAGACAAACTCCTTCCAAAAGCACTATATCAAAACCCAGTTTATGTATGTGATCTGCCCTATTTACAGAAAAAAAAGAACAGAATTTGCTGTCTTTTTCCAGCCAAAACGGCTGCAAATTTGAACAACGGCAATGGAGTCTAACTTACTTGTAAATAACAAAAAGGTTAATCTCGATAATCATATCATTTTTAAAGAACTAAAACCCTTGATATGTAACAAGATAAAATTTATTTTAAACTGTTAAGCTGGTTACTGCACCGATATTTATAGCGTTATGTCATGTTATGTAGAGGATTTTCAAGCTGCAAATAGCGCTGTTGCTACGGTTAATTAAATATGTATCTAAGAGTATTAAATGGAAACAATACAATGCAAAACAACAAAATGAGGCCCAGTAAAAATCAGAAAGGAAAAAAAGACAAAGTTAGGTTTTACCAACGTCTCTTTGAAAGGGTTTTGCCAAGAGCAGCCCGCGGCCTGCGGCCCATTTCATTGCTATTTTCCATGGTCAGCGGACAACATATACATACCAAAATTGTGAACTCTGAAGACGAATAATGGCAAGTCTTTGTGCTCGTGCTTTTTTTATATTTTCAACCACTTGCAAGCTTTGCTACATTTCCTTTCATTTTGCATGGGGAAAATGTTTAGTCTTTGAACGTTTTTTAATCACAGAACCTGCCGGCTAAACAGACATTCATTCTCAAAGTTCTCAGATTTTATCTTTATCATTTTATTGCCACGAGCTACAAGAGCGTGACATATTGGAGCACCCATTGGAGAGGTGGCAGTAAAGTGAGTCGCCAGGCCTTGGACCTTAAGAATACCGCGGGCCGCTGACCCGCTGGGCCGTGGAGTTGCGGGCTTACCTTTGGCAAAACCACTTTCGATACGCACCCACGAAGTAATCGTTATGGAAAATTTTCGACGTTATGGTAACCGGGAATAAATTATGGAAATTTCTATTTTTTGGAGAACATTATTATCTCTGCTAAGTCATATCCAGTCACACCAAAGGAGTCTCCTGACAAGTCTGTGAATCTTGCTCCACACAGCTGGGTATCTGCAATGACTTGTTGAAATACCATCTCCATCTGAAAGAAAAAAATTTCGGCAACAGAATCAAATGTTGAGTATGTTAAAGCGAAATTTCCAATTAGTGCCGAAAGGCATCCTGGATTGCTTTGGTTTGCTGTTTTACGCTCTGTGATTGGTCGAGAAACCTCTTGCCACCGATCAACCTAATCAGTAGTAAAGTTTGACTAGAACCAAAGTACTTGGTCTTTCAGCTTGCGAGCTGGCCGTCGTCAATTTTAGCGCTTCAGTACTGGCGTTTCTTCGCCACCGAGCATATTTCAGCACTTGAGAAACGCGAGTCATCTAGAGGTCTGCGAATGGTCTGACACTCTTTAGTGCCAGACCATTTAAATGTTCTCGCAGGCTGAAAAACGCTCGTTCTGCCGCGATGGGGGCCTGTTTGTAGGCTTACAGTCATTCAGGGTAATTTGGTATTATTAAGCGAGATGTTGACGGAAATTGGCCACCGTAAAGAGTTTCAAAGCTAAAGGTTCGAGCGTTAGCCCTTCGTCAGGGCGATTGGCCAGTTCTATCAAAACGTTAGCTTTTAAACTCTTTACGGAGGCCAATTTACGTTATCGACTCAGTCGATAATATTAAATTATCCAGTTATACTCTCCCACCGACATAGCACCACAGTTTCTTTAGAAACTTACACCCTTTTATCAGGTTTTCCTGTGCTTGGAGTTTAGTTATACTCTCCCAACGACGCAGCACCACAGTTTGTTTAGAAACTTACCCCCTTTTATCAGGTTTTCCTGTGCTTGGAGTTCAGAGTCGCAAATCCAAAGTATCACAATGTCCAATCACAACGAAGGATCTTCATGGGCGATTAGCCAATCACAAAAATTACAGCAAAAAGTAATCCTTGCTGAAAAACCTACCGTTGGACTGCTATCAGCAGAAAGCTTCCATACTCTGACACTAGAGTCTTCTGAAACTGTGACAAGCTGTGGATAGTAACAACATTACGTTATTTACATGTAATTATATATAAACAATAAAAGACAAACAATCCAAACAGTGGTGGTTATAACGCTTATGATAGGTGTTTCAAATCTTTCTTCATACAGACAACTAGGCTAGAAATCTCGATCATCTTTTTTACTCGATTTTTCAAAAATAACACAATAAACACTGCTGTTCCTAGGAGCACAGAGGATGCTGGGGCTCGCTTCCCGAAAGACTTATCGAGTTCACGGGCCCGAAAAGCGGGTTTTTTGTCTATCGTGTTTCAGTCAAGATCGAGATTTTGACAAATTTGAAATTCAAACAATAAAGATGTCAGGAAATGAAAAAGGATGGACCAGTGTTTGACCAAAGACTCGCGTAATCATTCCTTAAATTTAGAAATATATAACTTCGGGCCAATAAAATTACCGGGACTTTCGAGAAATGGGCCCCAGCATGAATGTCCAAAATGGCCTACTTTCTTTGTTACTCCGCTGGTAGATAGCACTATTGGGAAATCAGAGGAAGTTGGAGTATATCAGTATCTGGGCAACTACCCACCTACCCCTCCCCTAACCCAATATTAACCCTAACTTGTTATCAATTGACTATTGTTGAGTTAGGGGAGGGGTAGGTGGGCAGTTTCCCAGATACTGATATTGATCCGAATCCTTACATGAGCGTCACATAGCCTACGAGCAGATCCTACGCTCGCGGGAAAGTCTGAGGACTTGAGCAATTTAAGGCGGTGGGATTTCTGCCAGGGGTTTAGCACTGATAATTATTAATGCCAGACCCCCAGCAAATCCCTACACGACTCGTCTCAAGTCTTCCTGTGAGTGGAGAAAAGTGGGTCGTGCAGAGCTGATAATGAGGGCAAGCTAGGATTCACATTTTTTTCTTTGCCGTTTGTTTGTGACAAAAATCCTTCATTTCAAGGTAAAGCTGGAAATTTAACACCTTGAGCTGTGCTCTAATAGCAAGGTCAAATCCTACTTTGTGCTTATTTCCAAATAATTAAATCAGTTTATGCAGAAGAAAAAATTTCCTTACCAGCCCTGCTTCTACAGAAATATCCATTGCATTGATCCAACGAGCATGAGCACAAGCCTCAATACAAAGTGCACCAGATGACACACTGAAGACTCTAATGTGACCTGTGGCAAAACCACCAATAATAAAGTCCTTGTACAAGCACAGTGTTGAACAGGGAAACCTGGAAGAAAAAATATATTTTAAGGAATATATTATATTTTACCTGACAACAGAACACTCGAGTTTTTTACTAGACGGTAAATCAATGGCATCACAAAAATGTGAAGTTGACTTCAGACAAAAAAAAGATGTGATTGCTAACCCTTTTCCGTCAATCTTAATAATCTCTGTAAAATGTCCTCCTGATTGCCATAGAATGATGTTACCCTCCTCATCTGATGACACCATCCGTCCACCTTGTGCTTCAAGCTCACAAATGGCTGTCTTGTGTGAGGTAAGCGTCTCCTGTAGTTTAACAGCTGTGCCACGTGGTGGAATGTCAAACACCATGATACCACCCTCTGAAGTACCTAAAATAACAAACTTGCTAGTAACAAATTCGAGTAAGCACACCTCTGTGGACAGAGAGCTCCATGTACACCACCATTTGTGGGGAGGACACTTCTGAAACATTGACCATTCTCTGGAAGGTGAGCAATTCTGTATACAGACACTTCTCATATACCAATACCCTTGTGTGAGGGACACCCTCTGAAGACACTTCATGTAAGGGCAGATGGACAACTCTTTCAAGGCCTCAGCAACATGAAAACTATAACTAATTCCCTACCTTCTTTACCAGATTACATAACAGACATTTGGAGGGTGATTTACCAACATACCGGTGTGCAAATGGTTAAAACTGGAGTGAGAGGTTCAAAACTAAAACAAACACATCCTAAAGATCTGTCTTGTAGTTCCACTCACCGACACAAATATACTTGTCCCCTACTGCCGATATTCCTCTTGCAAAATGGGAATAGACTGAAGTATATAAGAAAAATAAATAATAAGTCTTGTATTGATTAATGAAAGGAGTATACTCATTATGACTTACAGTTTGGGAGTATGGGTGTGATTTAGTTTGGTATGTGATACAAAGGTCTCCAAATTGGACTCCATTTTAGAAAAGAATTCATGGTCACAAATCTGAACAGAAACAAGTGGTCTGTAACTTACAGAAAAGGCCGACAAAACAAGGTTAGTAAGTCAGGTATGTATGATTTAGAAAAATACACACAAAGCATACCTCCTTCCTTTGATTCACCAAGTGCTTGCCAGAATATCATTATAGATCCATCAGTTTCAAACATCTAAATCATAAACCATTCCAACAAGAACTAGTAAATCAGTTGATGTATGTCATGGGAACTAGTGCACAGTAAAAAAAAAAAGTGCCACTTATCATAAGGTGTTAGTTATCTCCCAAGAGAGAACAACCCTTCCCTTTCTGAAAAAACCTATCCAAGTCTCAGTTTTATACCAAAAAGCAACTACTGTGGTAGTTTTGATACATCCCCTGAACTGTATGCTACTTCATCACAAGTCACCCCAACCCTGCGGCATTTTGTAAGATTTCTGTGAAGTTTGCTAATGCCTGTTAATAGGGACCTTAATCAAGCTTTAATTGGCGATACTAATGAGAACATGGCCTTTCTATTTGTAACTTAACACTGCATCACATGTTATGCTGAATAGAAGATTCAGCACACAGAGAGATTTACAAGGAGTCCAGCTTGCTAAATGTTAGGTAACTACAGCTCTCAATGCACTAAAAAAAAAATTTCATAAAGTAAAGAAGAAAAAAGTACCTGGGCACCCTTAACAGAGGTAATAACCAGGACAGTTCTGTCTGGAAGTTCACACCACTTTGCCTGAAAAGTTAATTATCATCAGTAAGAAGTGATTTTAAAATCAGAACATAACAGAATGTTGTTGTCTGAAATTATTTTGGACCACAGAATGTATTCAGGATAACAACAGTTTGAAATGTTCAGGATGAAATTACAGGACTTGTGTTCATCTGACAGAATTTGCAATTGGGTCAGTAATGTGACTTGTGATCATACAAAATATGACAAATTAACTCAGTGAAGAAATAAGACTCCCTGTACTGCTTCTAGCAAATAGATTCCATGTTGTCATGCATCTGTTTGATGACTGTGATAGATCACAGATAATGTCAAAATGTGGTAAAAACAAAAAGTGGCATATGAGGTGCAGCCAAGTGTGTCACTGATGTTCTTGCCATGTTGATTTCATGTCTTCTGTGATAAATTACTGTACAGACCCACAGCAACAACAAATCTATTTGTTTCATGTATAAAAAAATTCAAATGTTGTCAATAGTGACATCACCCATGCATCTGTCCTCTAAATAGATTTATGCCCCATGTAACAATCAATCAAAATGCATGAATAAGTCAGCCAATCAGGTAATTGACAATAACATGTAAACTAAGATGCTGGAGATTGTTGAAAATGTGTTTATGCTACTGACAATCAAATGGTTCAAATGTTACAACATAATTCTCAGTTCAAACCATAGGTCACCCAACTCTTGTCCAGCTCCTAAAAGAATTATAATCTTAAATTTGTAAATTGATTTTCAGGTCTAAATGCAAAGAAGAACGAACACCTGAGCTAACTTTTCACCGATCTAGAGGCACTTTCAGTTTTCATGTACGTTTGATTGTCAAATTGTTACCATATATTTTACTGTGTACTGTATATCCAGCATAAGTAAAGTCGATCCGGGTCATGCTCAGGTCATGGCTAAAGAAGCTTGCTAATGTAAACAAGCTGATCATAAAAGTACATTGAATGTGAATTCAACCATTACCCCGCTTGGTGTAACAATTAGCAAAGCAAAGAAATACCTGCAACACAGCAGAGCTACTATGAGCTCCTTCTCCTTTACAAGAGACTTGTTTCTGGTTGACGACAGTCCCCTTAGTAACGGTGGTGATACAAACAAATGCCTTATGAACGACGCCATAAGTTAACGACTGCTTCTCCTTCGATGATAAAACCGTAAGATTGTTGCACAAGGAGGAGGCACTGGCTTTGATGCTCACTGATGAATCTCGAGAAAACATTTTTTAGCGTCAGACAGCCTTAAAAAAGTAGATCTGGAATGATTCGATGTGAAATTCGGCAATAGAGTTCGTCGAAGATGATGCAGCGTGAGCAGGTGGAATAAAGGCTCGAGACATTCCCCTGGTTGCTAGTTCCCAGACCTATCGAGCAATGAGGCGAACAAAGAAGGGCAGACAAATAGGCGCACCTCTTAAAACCTTTACCTTTTCTCAGATTAAAACACAATTAAAAAAACTATTGAAAGACAAAAGAAACCAAATCAGAGAACAGAGATGAATCCCACAGGTAAAAAGAACTAGAAAAGAAGGCAGGACCTCAGAAAAAATTCCTGCTGGAACTGAGTACTTGTTGCATTTTAGAGAAGACATTAACACTTTCATGGATCACAGAAGTAATGGCATGCAGGGTTGAATGTCTTATTTTCTGTAGTGCCAAAAGATATAAATGTACTTATCCCACCCCTGAAGGGATTGGTCCTGTGACCCTCTCGTCCTTGATTCACTCCTTCAGCTGTTACACGATGCCAAACAAAACGAGTGTGTGTCACTGAAAGTACGCTTGCTGTTTTGATAATTATGCAAATTAAATCCAAATTGTGGCCCAGATGGGTACATTTCTTTCCGCTTTTAAATCGAGGATTTTTTTCTTAACTCAGCCACATATGAACTGCACAGCTTGAAGTTTTAGTGTTGCATGATAACACACTCGATCAAATGTGTTCTTTAGCAGTTTTTTTTCCCAGGGGATAGAATCTTTGAACATTTGTTATATTCTTTGTTTTAAGGATCGGTGGAAATGTTAAATTGGGTATCAGCAGACTCCTCTTGACCAATCTAAACGTATAAATCATGTTTTATTGTTAGAGTATTCATTCACGGAAAATTAAAACAAAAGATACAAATTATTATGGAAACTGAAAATTGTCGGCTTCTTACAAACTTGTTTATTCATGAAGTCACATTTAACTCTGAAAAATCAACATTCCACACAATAAAGTTTTTATGTAGAGCTGTTGGAAGGTGCGTAACACAGAAGCGCCAAATATCTGGAAACCCATCTAAAAATTACGATTTCACAGCACACGTAGACCATAAGAGAACTGGCCCAGCTGACACGACAATTCGACGACGTACATCTTGAGTCAAATCTTGGTCTTTAACTTTGGTAAACTCTCCCTTTTGGAGAGAGGAAGCTTGGGAAGTACTTCTTCAAGATTTTAGAACTTGTGTGCAGGCGACGAAACTCTTGTTATTTTAACTGTAGAGCCTCTGCAAAATTAAATAAAATACGCAATAGTTCTGTTAGCAAAATGTTTATAAAAAATATATACTTATATTTTTTATTTGGAAAATTTGGGTCTTCAGTAGGATAGAATTTGAACTAGTAATTCATAATTCTTTCACATCATTTAATTCATCATGGTCGGAGAAAATTTGTCTTCAGTGCATGAAATATCTTAAGGTAGAATATACCACACAGGTGAATGGTGCTTTCTGTGCGCGCTAATTGGCTAGGTCGAAAGTGAACGGCAAGTACTACTCACATCAGAGCAGCCGAAAATACAAAATCGCGCGTCGAGAGTTTTAATTTACGACTATTTTTTTCGTTGTTTTGATTGAAATAAACTTCTTTTTGGTTTCTGTGTGGTATAGACTAAAAAAGCCAGACCAGAAGATCGAAGCCAGAGAAGGGCGAGAGGGAGACCAAAGACCACGTGGAGAAGGACTGTCGAAAGCGAGAGAGGCAAGGCGGGATGGAAGAGCTGCATTGTTGCCATGGCGGCGGCACGCCACAGGGGGGGTTGGGCGGACAACGTGATGGCCTAATGTGTCTAGGCCGTCACGTTGGCGCAACGAGCGATGATGATGATGATGAAACCATGATTTAGCGAATGCCATCGCGAAACCGAACAAAATTTATATATACATACATACACATTTACATATAATTCTACCAGGAACTAAAATGAAATAATCGAATATATAACCTCAAAATTTGGGATAATTCATCCACTTTATCTGGTTTTTATCGCCGAACCTTGCTTTCAAACGTCTTCTTCGTGACGGCAGGCTGATCGAGGATCCACCGAATGAACTGGACGACACTGTATCACCAATTATAGCTTCTACGTCATCCTGCATCTTGTACACATTTTGCTGATCTACAAATATTTGAGGATAACGGTAACTGCGAGGAAAAAAGAGAAAAAGAACAAATAAAATAATGAGGGATTTTCAACAGAAAGGACCAAGCCGCAGTATTGAGTCTCAAAAGGCCCTCACTTGGTAGAATAAACTTTAAAGATCTCCGAGTAAATGGTTTGAACCCAGATCAAGCAAGAGGTAACCTGCGCGAAAGTCATCATCAGAGACAGGTGGCTTGACCCTCGTGATAAAGTATGCTCAGGTTGCTAAAAAGTCAGTCACTACCACTGACAACATGCCTTCTCAGGCTTGCTCGAGTGATCAGACTACAGTATCAAATGAAAAGGTCTTACAGCGCACTGCAAAGGGAGAAAATGAACCTAAGAAACTGGAGCCCTCAAAACAAACTATCTCTCTCCCTCTCCCTCCCTCTAAAGATATTTTTAGAGTAAAAAAATCTGTTTTCCAGGTTATAACTTATCTTAGAGAAATCAGTGAATTGCGGAGTAGAGGAGACTATTAAGTGTTAACCTTAGTCTCGATTCTTTCATGATAACCCTACCTGAGCCAAAGATATAGATCAAGTCCTTCATGTAACGTCTCTAAACTCTTTAGTTGTTCCAGCGTCCTGGGAGCCTGGGGCGGCCACTTTAAAAACGTTTTGAGCTTTGAAGCTGTTATCGGGGAATCTGCACTTACACATTCTGCAAACTGATAGGAATAAATGGGAATTACTTTACTTCCATCATGAAGATAGTATTCCTTAGCAACTAGCATCGAAGGAAGTGTGGTAGATACCAAAGAGATTTGATATTAGGAGACACGGAAGAGCTTTCATGAAATGCTGGCTTTTGTAGTGAATAAAGTCGTAACTTTTAACTCAAAAAGAAATCAGCGAAAAAATTAAAAGAAGAACACCCGTGTGTGACCATTCAGATAACGGACCAGTTATGATTTATCGCGGGGAGGGGGGGGAAGAGGTGGAGTCGGGAATGGAGGATTTTTGGGAGGTCACGTGGTTTTTAGTGGAAAAGGAGGGGGGATATCATTCGTCGCCAACAGAGTAAAAAGGGGGGGGGGGCTGTAGAAAATTGATTGCCAACTAACTGCCAATGACGGGGATGAGTTTGCGTATTGTCATTACCTGTTTGCTGGATAATATAGAGACATTATGGGGAGGATACATGTTAATCACTTTTGGGAGTTAGAGGGTTAAAGTTTACTCCAGCAATTGAGGAGTTCTGTGTTGTAGTTATGTTTGCCTCCTCTATTCTTCCATGAATTCAACTTATAAAACACTTCTGCTTAGGCATTTTTGGAATGTGACAAAAAATCCTCGTACCTTTACAGCGAGATCTACGGTGACCGACTTTTTCACACTGATTGGCGCTCTGCTGAATACAAATTGATCACTTATCGACAAAGGAATTCCTCCTAGTTTTCTTGCTAAAATCTATGAAATAAAAAAACAAAAAGGAAAACAACACAAAAACAAAATAAATGTAAACAATAAGGATTAAACTTCTCAGAAAAATACGAGTATACGCTTTCTCAACCATTCAACAAGCCTCGTCCCAATTCTCTGCTCATTTGAAACTAAGGGAACGATGGGTCTTGTGTTTGACGTGATGGGTTGCTGTACTGGAATAAATTTTGGACTAATTGCAGATCTCACACAGAACTGAGGCCATTTAACTGAATCCTAATAACTGTTGCACATTTTAACACAGTACACAAACCTTGACATCTGCGAGGTCGCACATGAAATAGTTTGCACCATCCAGTTGAACCACGCTTTCAAACGTTTCCTAAGATATTGACAAACTTTACGTATTTAATTCAGAATTAAAGAACAAACTATGTTAAACAATAACGAGTATTTAGCAACTTTTCAAACAAAATTAAAGGGCAACGGCTGAAAGTTAACATTCGAATACGTTGCGTCACGTTTATGAACCACTGGATCATGTAGTCTGATCGTCCGCGTAAGTGTAGTCCTGGGAACGACTCTCATCGGAAGCGGTGACTGAAGTTTCGATAACCAGAGCGAAAGTGAGATCAGACCACGTGATCAAATGTTACCCGCGGGTTCAAACCATTTATTGATTTAAGGATCACCTTCAATCAAAGTCTGCACATCTTCTTGCTAAAACTTTCGCATTTTAATTACCTATCGTAAAACCGAACCAATAAGAGCGAAGGAAAATAACACAGGAAACTAAGAAGAGCTAAACGTAAATATACGTGTATGTAAACCGCCTGAAGCGCGGGAAAACGCGGGCGACAAGGCGCGCGGTACTTGGTGAGTGACTGGCGCGAATTTCTCACAACAACAAAGAGATGGAAAATAAAACCAAGGTACTCTCGCAAAACTTTAGACGCAACATGGACTTACGTATAACTTCAAGAGACTTGCATCCGGTAGATGTTGAGCGAGCATTTCAATTTGTTCCATACTGGGGGATAACCCGGCCGCCTGAAAAGGGAAGAAAAAAGGGAAGAAAAAAGGGAAGAAAAAAAGGGAAGGATAAAATAGAAGCAATTCGTAAATTACTAAAAGAATGCCCGAGAATGATCTTCACAATTAAGTATTGTTGAAAATTCATTGTTATCAAACGCTGTAGGAAGCTTTGTACACAAAATTCCATTGATTTATCTTTGTTTCTTTCCTGTGTTGTTAACTAAGCTGGTGCTTTTTAGCAATGGAAGACCAGAATAAACAAGGATGGATTGAAGAGTTTCTTTAAGTACAGATTCGAGCGGCAGAATTTACCCCTAACGCAGCTTATATTAATAAAATCCTTGAATACATTCACACAGAAATTCTAAAGATATTGCACCATACGCGGAGATCTTTGTGTAGCTCTTGTCGCCGTGTGTCCGTGATCATTCGTCAGAGATTTTTCAAACTTGGAAAAACGAGTCAGGGATTCGAACCTGAGATGTTTTACAAATTTAACTAAGGAGCCAAACCATGTTGCCCGAAGTCAATTGCGAAGTGTTAAGCCAAATAATGCTTGTATATAAGATACTTATTGTCACCAGGAAAGGAGAGCTTGTCGCGCGGTACATGGTGACATTAGGTTCCAAGCTGTACTTGTTAAATGCAGAGGAATACCGCAAATAATTTCAAGCAAGCATTCATTAAACTATTTGAAAGACACCTTAACATCAAATAGCCATCACATTCGCCTTCAACAGTTACCTCCACATCTTTTATAGGTTCTTTCATCAGCCTTTGAAGAGTTTTGGAGTCGTATCCCCTGACCCTGTTTCGAGATAAGAGACATCGCTCAAGTTAGTATTTGTTAGTCAAAGGAGCTGGAAATCGACTTATAGTGATCCGTTTCTAAGTTTCCAAACTGACTGTTATACTCGCAAGAGAACATAATACATCCTCAGACTTGGTTCCACACTACTTTTACTCAAAGCTGAAAATTGTTTTAATGGAGGAAATCAGCAGCTTTCTTACGTGGTAACTTCTCCCTTGGAATGAGCCGAGCCAAATCTGCCGGCACGACCTGCGATCTGTTTCACTTGAGAGGAAGTTAGCTGCACCATGTTATTGCCGTTATATTTCGAAAGTGAACTGAACACAATTCTCTTAATGTTTCTGAAAAAATGGAAAGGGAAAAATGGACAAGCAAAACTCAAAATACGTTAAAATAAGAATATTGATGAACGTTTAAAACGAACTTAAATCGATGAATAATGATTGTAGATATATGAAAATCATATCTGTGCACTGCGGTGAAGAAACGAATATAATACCCCATTCACACCAGCAAAACATGTTTTGTTAAACTGGTTTTCATTGAATGAAAATTATAAACAGAGCACTGAAAAACTTGATTTTCCTTTGGATTCAAGTACTTGCTAACTTGCATTTCCAATGTGCTACATTCAAGTCAAAAATATTCGGTTAAATAGTTTCTATGAAGAAAAAAAAAATTAAACTGTGTTTAACAAAACAACTTTTAAACATGTTTAAGCTTTGGTGTGAATGCGGCATAAGAGATTCTCGCAGCTATGAACACTACTGAACTAATAGTTGAATAAGACCTGAAAATATTCAGGCCCGAACGGGATTTGAACCCATGAACTCTGTGATACCGGTGCAGATCGATGATTTAGAGAGTTACGGAAATTTCTTACCATGAATCTAAAAAGGCCAACTAAAACAGAAAACTAACCTTAAGAATATGTTTCTCAAGATTAACCAAATTCACTTAACCCTTTAACTCCCAAGATCTCATAAGTAATTCTCCTTACTGTCTGCCATACAGTTCTTGTTATGCTAGTTTGGAGAATTTGGTATTGGATCAACTTGTAATCTCCTAATTGATATTTTTCTTCATTCTCATCACTTGTCTGCTTGATATTGTATTGATATTGTAAGGAGAAATTCTGTCTTGGTCACTCATGGGAGTTAAAGGGTTAAGATAAATAAAGGGGGTAAATTCTTAAGAGACTCTGGTGCTGCGTCAGTGAGGAACATCACAAGATAATTTGATTTTATCACTTAATTGAGTTGATAAATGTAAATTGGCCACCGTGAAGAGTTTCTAAGCAGACGTTTCGTGCGTTAACCCTTCGTCAGGGCGAGTAAACTTTACTTAAAGCTGACGTTTCGAGTGTTAGCCATTCGTCAGAGCGAGTGAACATATTTCACGTATAGACGAACATTAGTGCAAATAACTGTTACAGTTCACTTGACAGACTCACAAGTTCAGCCCCATTCCAATGGCATCCGAGGCTACAAGCACAGAGCACTCATCTTCTGGATCATTAAACTTCATTGCTTGCTCCAATTTTGTAACTGAAGTTAAACAAGAAGAGAGTTATCATAATTTTGTGACATCAAAAGAAAAGAAAGGAAACAGTCCGAGGCTGGTTTGAAACGGCGTCTATCAGTCTGAGTTCTATTTGAATTTTTTTGTGTATCTCGCCGTGTTGATCTATTAATATTTATCCACTTAATCTGTACGGTTCAGAAAAAAATTGTAAAATAAAGAATCTTGAAAGTATTCAGGGGTTTCAATAACTTTTCCCTCGAGAGGTTGCCGATGGTGTAATAGACAGCTGTGCCGTAAGACGAAATCCAAACACGAGAAGCTGTTCGCGAGCAAAACTGACGGCGGTGAGACGTCTTATATAAGCGGTGGTAACCAGCTTTAAAACCTCTGAGTTTTACAAAGCTCCTTCCACTTTAAAGTTTATTTACCAGGTGGGAGGCCTCCATAAATGATGGCACACTTCTTGTTTGTTTGACTTTCAATTTTCCTCCTCATTTGGTACAAATCCCACTGAGAAAACGCAACAACACAATCTCCAGCTCGGATTTTTTGGAAATTTCCTCCTGAAAATAAACCATATCACGACTCAGTGCAGTTGCTGGTTACTTTTCGTTTAGGAACCACGCATGCTTACAAAACTATCCATACCTAGGCTCGAACGCACTTCACTGATCCATGATTACTAATTGTTATTAAGGTTCATAAGCTTACTAAAGCGAAACACCGATGTTACTTAGTATTGCTAAGAGTACGGACTGTGATCCAGAAAGTTTAAGGTCCGTCAATGTGACTGCGTTGTACCACCAACAACTGAAAAATTTCTAATTTTTTGGATAACTTACCAAGACTACGTTGGCTGACTTCTAAAGGGCACAGTCTCTTATAATGACGCACCTGAGGTTTACAAAAACAACGAACACATCTCATTCCGAGGCTGGATTTCCAAAGTCATGTCCATTTTACAATTTCACACCCAAAACTTAGTCAGTAACACAAAACATGAATAAAGTGGGCAAGTTTCTGAAGAAACTGTGGTACTGCGTCGGTGCGAGAGTATAACAGGGTAATTTAATATTATCTACTGATTTGATAACGTAAATTGGCCACCGTAAAGAGTTTAAAAGCTGACGTTTCGAGCGTTAGCCCTTCGTCAGAGCGATTGATATATAAAAAATGGAACAAGAGATGGTTTTGTTGGTATCATGTTGCAAGTTGGAGCCTGTACCAGGTCATTTCAGCGCATTTATTGTCGCAATGACACAACTGAATGAAGGTATAACTGATATATCTTTCTCTCTTTCTGTCTGTTTCATTTATCTGTCCACCTTAGCACAATTAGTCGGGTACAACTATAAAAAAAAACCTATTCTCGCAGAATACAGCGTAGCTACAATAACTAAGAAAATTGCGGATTAGAAGCCTGAAAAGAAAGCTAATATTATGACTGACACAGCACATGTTCAACACTGGTATTATGGGAGTCTGTGTCCAAACTTGAGAAAATTTTCCACGCGAGTCTTACCTCTAATTCATCATTGCACGAAGACACTAATCTTTCCACTAAATTTATGGCAGAACTTTCTCCACAAACGTGTATTTCTGGGCATGGCAGACCTATTAAAAAGACAAAAAATAAAACTTCAGTGACACAATAGATTTCCTTTGGATTTGCACTCACCATCACATGGCATCAAAGATCACCCTCTGTCACAACCACAAATTTCTCTCCAAAATTAAATCAACTTTTAAAGGCAGGCTTTTACAACATTTCATACAGGATTTAAAAATAAGGGGATATCAGGAAATATTTCCCAATTTTAGCTTGGGCATATTCAGTCTAGGGATAAATTCAAACCAAGAGCAAATGAAAGTATTTACTCGATTTAGAGGATTCTATCTTATCTTAAGGTGTCATGTTTAAAGAATCTGATAAAAGTTAAGGTAAAACCAGCCTTCAAGCTTAATGGGACACTCCAACAAAGGATCATATCATTTCACCATCATGAAGCAATAAGGGTTACTGTTACTCTGGGTAAAGTTTTCTTGCACCTACTTACACTCCCAGATGGAAAGAGAGAAAGACTGAGAGAGTAAAGTGTATTACTGAAGAACAAATACATTGACTTTGACAGGGCTCAGACCTGGATCTCTTAATTCAAATTCCTGCATGCTAATCAATATACCATCATGTCTTCCAGCTCATGAAAAGTATCCTTCCTAATTTGTTTGAACTCACCTAGAAGAGCTCGTGACCAGGCCCAGCCTCGATCTGTGTCTCTCATCATCTGAATTTCATCTATCACTGCACAATCAACTGAACAAAAAACTTACAATCAACAGGTGGATATAAATCTATAAAATCTTAAAACCCAATAGCTCACTGTTGCCTGAGCTTATCCTATTTTAGTGGTAAAAAGCAGCAATAGCATGGGTCCTCCCCCTAGATGGGATGTTAGTCCATCACAGGCAACTCTCCAACCCCTCCCCCTATAATTGTTCCTTGACTGTCCACCAGTTTCCATCAACATTCCTGAGAGGAGAGGGGCACGGAACTAAAGAACACACCACAGTAACTAAGTAACCAAATTTCTGCATCCCTATGAGGTCCTCTTTTAATTCACTATGATCATGAAAGTTTATAAGCTTACTGCTTAAAAGCAAAACTTCATCAATGCATACCCCCATTCTTAGGAAGGTCTAACAACATTTAAGTGACATATGGTCTAAAGGCAAGTACATGCTTTAGTAAGTTGAGCTTGTAACATATTTGCAAGGTGAGAAAAGCCTCTGATCTCAAAAATCTGGTGTGCCCAGCTTTTAAAAGCTTTGATAAAAACAAAGCTATACAAGTCACCCAGTGACAGAAGTAAATCACCAAAGGCAATTAGGCTATTCTTTAAGTATAGCCCCAATTAATATTATGACTTACAAGGTCTTTGAGAGGAACACATCTCAACAGTACATGAAATATGATCAGAGGGGTCATCTGGTGACACTGCCCACTGTCTGTCCTCACCCGTCACCAGGTCACATAGCACTCCCTGAAAACAACAATTAATAGAAACTGAACAACTAGCAGAATTCTAGAAATTGCAATAGAGAGAATTTGATTTTTAGTAACTGAGAATACGAGTAACTATTGAATCAACAACTAGGTGGAATTGCATAATTGAAAAATTTTTGAAGTAAGATTGGCTATCAAGACAGGGTATTCTGGAAAAATTGTGACTTAAAAGCGAGGCTCATTCTCAACACCCCACACCGATTCGGGAATGTAAGTGTCCCTAAGTAGCTAAGAGGTACTACATACTTTGACACTTACAGTTTTTAATTAGAATTTTATCTAAATCAAGTAAAAAGACTGGAATCATAGACTAACACGAGCCACCTGAAAAAACATTCAAAAAAGGGAGAAACAGAATGAAAACCATGGAGCAGGGAGGGGACAGCAAAAGCTGACTAAGAGTGGTAGGGTGGAGGGCTTCTCTGCAGGGTATTGGTGCTGCAAGGAAAAACATGGATAGGAACAGAAAGCTTTAAAATATATTTGATGCTGCAACAGTTTTTTTATTTGCTTCAACTTACAGCATAATTTGCTCTCTTGAACACTTCTGCTGCTAAGAGCCGTAGTGGACCACAGTAGACTCCAGAGTCGGCTGCATGAAATCTCTCAATAGCAGCATGAGTCTTGCCACTGTTTGTTGGACCAGCATGAAAAATTATTTTCCTTTTCATTGCTCTGGCTTCAGGAAACCTAACAGAACATAAAATACAATGAATGATCTCCAACTCAACAAGTGAATACTAAAGGTCACAACAGTAAAAAAAAATCAAAAAATTGTAGTCAGTAGTAACTTCTCTTCAAGAAGTGGGCAGGGGAGGACCTGGGCCTTGTTGTTCAAAGAGTAAATAACACCATACAATGTATAAATCCCCATCTGTTAGATCGGTGTCATCAAAATGAAAGGAGCCATCCTCTGAATAAAAATTTATTCTGTAGATAGCCTTATCCACCCTTTGAACAACTAGGCCCTGATGTAAATAGAATAGGAAAGATGGCAAGTTTTTTGAGCTTGGTAAAGAAATAGAGAAAGATGGTTCTTTTAGTCATGGGACAAAGAAAAAATTCTGAGTCCCCACACTCTACTCTGATACTCTGATGGGAACCAAAATTTTTTCATCTTATGTTATTAGTTGCTACTTAGAGCCAGCACAAAAAGAAAATTAATTTGGAGCCTGTGAACTGCCAGGGGAACCTTACAAAATGCTGGAGGTTTCCTTCTGTTTAACTTACATCACATTGAGGAAGAGAAGACAGTCCATCAGAAGCTGAGAAGAACCAATGCCACTGATGGTCACAAGACTGAACCCTTCTCTAAACCATTTACCTCCCAGAAGTGATTTACATGTAACTTCTCTCTATGATATCCATACATTATCCAGCAAACAGCTAATGAGAATACTCAAACTTATGAGGTAGATTTTTAATCTTGACCTAACACCAAATTCTCATGACTAATTCACATGGAAATCTGCAGTAGCTAAAGGGGAGAATTAAGAATCAGATCTTGGGGGTTAAAGGATTAAAGAGAGCCGTAAGTAAAGTTCATGCTAACAATTAAACAATATAGTGAGGATAATTCTCTTACAAATCAGCAGGTCCACGTAAATCTGATATCTTTTTCACCTCCTCCAAACTTTCCAGCATGGGATGTACTTTCTCAGCAAATTTCATGAACAATGGGAAGAGCTGTTGCATGTAATCTGTTGATTATCAAAGTCACAAACAAGGTATGAAAAGGGAATAGAATACACCAAATTTTTAACCATGATTGGGCTCATTTCATTGGATTAGCCAGCCTGCTTGCTGAAAATGGTATACAGTAGAACCCTACTCACTCAAATCTGGTTAACTCAAACAAGATCTGGTTTCCCTTGGATTTGAACCCATTTTTTTAGTTATTTATTACTGGGCTAATTCCAAACCCTCTTCAACACATTAACCACTCTGAGTGGTTACTAATACCTCCTTACAATATTGCCCCTGAATCAAGCATTTATAGTAGATCACAAAAATATTCAAAATGAACACCAACTAGAGACACTCTTGATTGTTAAAAAAGTTCCCCTTGTCAGCACTTTGGGAGATGTAGGGAGAACAGTATAGAGAAAGTGCACACTAGGGTGTAGAGGGTTAATTTGAACTAAATTTACGTTCACTCTGCTTTAATTTACTCGGATAATTAAAACTTTAAGAAAAAACCTTGGTCAAAAAAATATGTAAAATTCCCTCATTCTTGCACCAAAGGAGGTTACTGCTTATATTATTTTCCATAGCTTACCTGCATTATAATACAATGAACTAAACTGTTCAAGCATCTCTTTGTTCCCATCTTCCACTTGCAAATTTATTTTATTTTTGAACTCTAGAAAAATCTCTTTGAATAAAGTATCTGATACAAAGTAAAATGAAAAAAATACATAGTTATAACATGATGTATAAGTTTTTAAGAACAAAAATTCTGACTATGCTTTGATAAAATAAGTTTCTGTTGTATGGTATAGAATTTAGGAAGAGATAAAAATAAAACATGATACTAACAACAAGGAAGAGGTATTCCTTGTTTAAAGTTTGTCTTAAATGGAAGTGTGATGGTACATGAATACAATATAATTGCTCCCTTGAAACATCATACCCTGGTCAAATCACCTCCCAGTGACATCATCCACTAGTCAAGCCACACCCTTATCATGCACCCCCCACCCCTCCCTGTCTTGCCACCCTGAACGGCTGTTTTAACCCTTTAACTTCCAGAAGTGATTAACTAGTAACTTCTTATTACAACTCCATTATATTATCTTCCAAACAGGTTATGAGAACAGAAAAGCTTCTCAGCAAAGGTCTGAGTGACAGAAGAGCTCTGTAACCTCACAGTGATCTAACTTACAGTATGGCTAAAATAACATGACATTGATCATGAAAACAATATGAAAAAAAAAAGTATTTGAATTCCTACTTGATAAACCATTTTCACGAGCAGCCTTTTTAACCTGCTTGTTAACAAAGAAATTCATCAAGAACTTTTCCAGCATTTCTGTCACAAAAAATAAATAAATAATACATTGTTAAAAAAACAGTTACACAAATAGGCGGAGCATTGATCTTCATCTATATTCCATGAGTGTTGATGCATCTGGGTCAATGTCAGTATCTAAGTAAATGCTCACCTACTCTAACCCAACACAAGTCATCCCTGTTATCAATTGGCTTTTGAGGTGTCTCAGGGAGGGATAAGTGCCTAGTTACTCTGATACTGACAATGATCCATGAATTTCCTATTACCTTAGTTAAAGTTGACATTCCACTTGGTGTAAGGGAGCCACTGGTTTTCAGTCGCATAGTCAGCCAACAAGGCATAATGAGGTCTTGTGCTCAACCACTCATATGAAAATGAGTTTAATTTCCATGTGAATGAAAAATTATGATCATATGAAAAGATGAGCACCAGGACTTGCTTTGAAAAAGAGGCTAGAGGTAATATTGAAATTGGCAACTCAGCTTGTGATTTTCATTGATGACCAAATTTAGCATGAAGTGCATGTAAGATTGCCTAGTGTGTCCCTTACTTTAGCTCAATTATGGACCATTCCTAAATGGAAAATTTATTGTTGTTTGATTGACAAGATTACAAACAAGTCCAATTATGCTTGATTTTCAGACCAATCATATGCTTGTTTGTCATTCAGATCTGATTACATAACATCCCCCTGGACAAGCAGCCCGCATTAACTGCTATTCTGTTATTCACTTGTCTCAAGGGTTATTCAATAACTGATTCCCATGCATGATCCTGCTTTTCGGGTATTGAATAGCATTTATAAACCTGCTGTAAGAGGAACAGAGAATAGCATTTACAAACCTGCTGTAAGAGGAACAGAAGTTTGGGAAGAACTGTCTTCATTTGAACAAGTCTCCTCACATGAAGGCTCCGTATCCGCAACGGAAAGGTCATTTAATTCGCTACAATTCGTGCGCATAGATGCGTCATCTTGACTGATTCGAATCTTCTCCTCTTCTCCTAGGGAGTTTTCGTCGAATGAAACATTTTCCGCGCTTTCTTTAACTTTCCTAATTTCTGTGTTCAGATCTTGATTAGTTTGTTGCGTCACGTTGGCAGCATTCTCTAGTAAACACGTCCTTGAGAAATGCAAGCCGCAGTTATTTATGATTAACACTCCTTCACGTTCTCCTCGACGAACGAAACGCAGAGAATGCTTATTTAGTGTAGAAAAATGCCTGGAAAGTACGAAAGAACTTTCTACCGGCGAAGTCTGCCTTGTATTGAAACGTGCGAAACATGCTTGATGAATTAACCTTCTCCAAACTACCACACGACTTTTACCAAAATGACGGTATAAACTTGAATTAAAATGACTCCAGTTGCAAAAACTTATCATGCTACAAGACGCCATGTCACTTTTGAGTCCTGGAGGGAGGCAAATGTGCCGACGTTTGTCTAACCGGCTTTCTCATTGACATAACATACATCCTGACTGCCATCTTGTTTGACAAAAGACGTGTGAGATTGGGTCGAGAGTTTCAATCTAGTAACCAGTTCCCCTCCTTGGTTCTTTGGGCTTGGCCATCTCATTTCTCCGTCTTCACTTCCCTTCCCGCTTAAATGAGAGCAGCTATTTCATCTCAGGTTATCTACTCACACCCCACAAAGTTTCCCTATATACTTTGACACGACATATCCTGACCCAGTATCGTCATTCAGTCTGGCCCCAATCTCTTTTCAATCGAAACTCCTCGCCGAAAGCTCTCGCTTCATATCGGGAGAAAACTGCTAGAATGCTAAAGGACTATACCCATTTATAACTCCTTAGTGTAGAGCAGAACTCAAAGAGTTGAGTTCCTTGCCTGACCTTGCCTGGACGAACAACGCAACGACCCTGCAGAACGAACCATCTGTCCTCTGGCGCGCGCTGTTAAATTCTAACGCGCGCAAGATATTATTACAAAAAACGTCACAAACAGTAGAGTGGTTTATTTTGGATGTTTACCATAGAAACATTCAGTTGCAGTAAAGTTCGCTTGTGGTAAACACTGTGAGAATTCTCTAAAACTGTTCGCTAACAGTATTGGGTTGATCTAAAGTTGATTCATTTGATCAATCAACCAAACTGGGGAACGTGAATACAAATCAAACAAAGCCGAATCACACGATAAGAAAATGATTCAGAATCCGAATTTTTTGAAAGATTTGCGCTTGAAAAGAAAGCGCAAATCAAAGATGAAATCAAGTACCCCCGCGAAAAGAAGGCGCTTGGACAAAAAGGTGAGTTCGAATTTACTTGATTCAACTGAAATACGAAAAAGATATCTAGAAGAACATATGTTGAAAAAAAAAACTTGACGCCTATCCGACTTTTCTAAAAAATTGAACACTTTGCGAATTGGTTCCAAAATGGTTCTTTACCGTCTTTCCTATAGACTACCGACAAAGTTTGACATTGCCTTTTTTCTCATTTTTCGTAGCGCTGGGCCAGTGAACGGGAGAACAAACCAGGAATTTCCAAATTCCAGAGGTAAGAAAGTGTATTTGAGACGCATACATAAAGCGCGTTCAAAATTTAATCTTATCATTTCTCATTCAATTTGTTTTCCTTAGAAATAAATTGAGATGCGTTTGGAGTGAGTCTGACAAAGACTACCTCAAGGAAATCAGTAGTTACGACAGCTTTTTGTCCCTCGATTATGAGGTAAAATGTTTTTCCTTTAGTGTTACTTTATTTCGTTTTTTTAAGTCATAATGCGATCACTTTTCCCACAAGGATATGGTATTTAGCCCATTCTCAGGTACCCTGGTGAATCATCATATACTATACAACTTTAATCATCAAAACTTTGTACCCAGGAATTCAGTTTTTCAACCGATATTATGAGCTACGAGAGAGTAATATTCGATGATAAAAACAGCACTGGCAGAAAATGCTCTCTAACTGTGAAAATGATCGTCTTGACTGACCAGTGATTATCTCATTAAGGTATTCGGGGACGTGCATTGCATTAGGATGCAATCGTGAAACAAAACACTTGTTTACTGAAGACTCAGAAGTTGTGTAACAAAGTTTGAGCCTTGTTCTAGGGAAGTCGCAAACCATGGCGGATGAAAATAGCCCGCACAACGGGGTACTCCCTAGAGTCAGTGATTTTTTTTTTTAATTCAAGGGGGAATATGAAGGTCTCTCAGGTTCCTCTCTTGGGTTCATCACTACTCCACAATGGACCCGAATTTACTTAGACACAATCAAGCGAAATACCATGTTTTCGTTAAAATTTTGCAGAAGCCTAACTGGGTAAATGCGGAGCTAAAGTTCACACTGTCAGGTGACAGTTCTTCATCCAGTCAATCAAGTGAGAATGATCAACTGAAATTATCTGAAATGCCGATACCAGAATACATAAAGGAAATTGCTTCTCGAGGTATGCTAAAATTTTGAAAACTTATTTTCAGTTTTTGAGCTTGGTCGAACCATCTGCGGGAATATATTTATCAACCGGCAGAACACTTCCCGCAAGCAGATATAGGAGAATTAACCCAAATTTGTGCCGCATCCTCTTTCCTGTAAGAGACACTTAAACTATTCACAGATTTTCCGACCATTATAACGAGAACTCACCCATTAACTTTCTGCTTGCTGTTGTTGTTGTTGTTGTTTTTTTTAAGTTTTCACTTGTACAATTTGAATTACTCGTTCCGCAACGATTTGTAACACGGTTTTACTCTAATTTGCAACTTTTAGCTGAGTTCGTTGATTACGAACTTGGAAAAGTACTTGGGGCTGGTGCGTTTGGTTTGGTTATCTCTGCGACACGCACTAACGGCAACCTGCCGGTAAGTTCTTCTGCTCTATGATTGGTGGGAAAAACTTGGGTCACCCTCTCAACCAATCAGATGCAATCTTGAGTCTGCGCCCGACTCATGTTTTCTGGCACTGTGGGTGGTTTGCCCGTTTTATTTTGAGTTCTACATAAAAGTTGTACATAAAAGTAACTCTTAGCTTTGATGGCGTAAATTGCTGAGATTCTTCAAGCAAGTAGCTTTTCCTTTTAAATAAAAAAAGGAGGAGTAATAAAATATATATATGGCTATCTTTTCAGGTGGCGCTTAAGTTCGTTCAGAAAAGTTCAGTCAAGGAGTTTAAAAAGGTTTGTAAACTTCATGTTATCATAAGAATAGAGTGGAGCGGGTTTGTGTTGTTATCTAGACCAGTCAAATAAAAAAGTATATGTTTCCCTTTTAGAAAAACTTCTTGAATGCAAAAGGAGCTCGTCTTTAAGCCAAAATTCACTTTCTTCCTTTCTTGCTACAGATAAACGGCTTCGAAATTCCGTCCGAGGCTTATCTTCAGCGCCAGTCACGTCACCGTCACGTGATCGAAATATACGAAGTTATCATCACTGACGAATTCTACGTATACGTTATGGAAAGACCTCAAGTCTGTAAGGACTTGTTTGAGGTCATACACGAGCGAGATAACCTGGACCGACCACTGACAGAGAATGAAGTGCGGCGGTACTTTGCCCAGATCCTGCAGGCCAACATCAGCTGCGAGGAGAATGGTGTTCTACACCGCGACATTAAGCCAGAGAATATCATCGTGGACATGAGTACTGATGAGGCAAAGTTGATTGATTTCGGTCTGGCATCTGAGGTTCAAGCTGAACCTTTCACGCATTTCAGAGGTGAGATTTATAACGAAAAAGAGTACTTTTAACACATCGGTCAAGTTAAAGGCATTGAAACTCAGGTGAAACCTGCCCCTTCTATAATGAAGAACGGTCGCTGTAAACTAATCGATATTCTTTGGCTCAGTCTAATTCATGGTTGTTAAATTGAAGGACGGAATAGGATTTCAAATGACAAATCCAGTCTGAAATCCTTAAAAAAAAAACAAAGCAAAAAAAAAAAAAAAAATCCCTTTAACGATTACTAGGATCCCATTACAACGAATGCTTCAGCAAAATTTAATGTGAAATGTCAAAAAGTAGTGAAGGAAATGAGAAAGATGATTTTAATGAAGAATCTCTCATTTCAAACATTCTTGCCTCTACATTTACTCGAACAAAACACGAGGATAAACAGATGATTGGCGTAATATTTATTGGCAAGTAATTAACGGTGACGTTTTTTTTACTTTGCACTATTTCAGGCACACCACACTACATGCCTCCTGAGTACAGCCAATCAAAGAAATATGACGGCTGTCAGGGCACGGTCTGGCAAATGGGAATCCTGTTGGTGGACATGTTATCACCTCAAGTACCCGCATTTAAACAATCACATCTGGCCCTCAGTATGCCACCTAGAGTACCCCAAAATATTTCAGCAGGTATTTTATTTACAGAACCTTCAGATTCATGGTACTTAAAAACAAATTTTGATATTTGGGCCAAATCTAGCTATCAAACAGTTACCGCTTCCTTTGTTGTCCGCAAGAAGTCTGGGATGGAGTGGTTGACAGGAGGCGTTTTCGGAGGGTCTTTCTCGAGAACGCAAAGGTTCAGTCATCCGTATGGGTTAAACCTCTGTGTAGATTGTGGGGGAGGGGGTGGGGTGAAGGTTATGCACTGAAAAAAGAACAGGTCTAGACTACGTGGTCTGTTAAGAATTCCATTGCATGTAGTTTAATTTTAAATGTCACAAATCAACCCCCAGACTGAAAAGAGGTTGGGATTTATACCCATTTTTTCCTCTCCGTTTGTTAAATCCTGTTTGGAATGCATTGAGACTGTTGTACGTTACATCTTGCGTTGTCTGCATACAAACAAATTGTGCGCCATAAATAAATGAGGAAGAAGCAGGAAAATCAAACTTATTCCATGCGGTCGTTGCAAGTATTTTCCTTCGTTAATGTTCGATTGGCCTTACCATCTTTTCCCCTTTCTGTCTCCAAGGGAGTGGTCGTTTTAGCTTCAGACCGCTTCGAAAGTAAGATCGTCCCATGGAGTGTCTAACGTGAATAACCAGTTTAACATTATTAGTTCTTAAATGATAATTATTTCTTGTTTCCTTTTGAACAGACGCAAAGAATCTTATCTACTCGCTACTGAACACAACTCCAAACAATCGCCCAACTCTTAAGCAAACTCTACAGCATCCATGGTTTGCCAGAACAGACTAAACTGCTGTCTCACTGCTTCTATTAACACTGAATCAACTGCATCGTGAAAACAAAAATAAGTAAAATAAAACGGTGTAGGTTTTAAAACTAAGTTATGACAGTCGTATTTATTATTTCACATTTGTAAAGTAGAAAAAAAAAGAAAGAATCGTAAAAAAAAACAGAGTACCTTTAACAAGATGTTGTAAGTGGTGTATCTTTAGCAAGATGTTGTAAGTGGCGCCCATGAAGTGTAAATCACTCAACGAAAAACATCTCAATAACCATATTGAGAGTAGTTTACGGAATCAGTGTTAGTGGTAGGGTACGTATCGCTGAATGAGCACTGTAAGCATTGCGTGTTAACTAAGTGCTGCTCCTGTAGTTACCTTACCCTAGTTGAGGCTATCAGTGAGCAGAGAAGCGCAAAAGAGCGAGAGGTTGACAAACTTCGATCGCACTTGTCAGCGCCTATCCCCTCCCCAGTGTTTTTTTTTTTTGTACATCCACTAGTTTGCTCGTTTCTACCAACCGAGAGAATATAGTTGATTAAGCAACACAGACGATATTCTTTTACAGATTGTTTTAATTGAAAGAAACCTCACAGTTTCATTTCAAAACAAATGTATATTACTAATAATTCTCGGTATGAAAACCATTCTTAACGTAGATCTAGGATAGCTATGTACACATATCTCAATTTTATTTCTGAGTATCACCAATACAACCTGTGTAACTCATACAAATGTACTGTTTTTGACAAATAATTGTAATATAATTAATAAACTTTTGTGCTTTAAGTAAATTTTTGTGATCAGAATATCAATCTTTGTTGATCAGTGATCTATTGCCGCATTCTGATAAATTACCACTTTAAACATTCCCATTTCCTTTGCCATTCCTTTTCCCATTACAAAGAATTTCAAACAAGCAGAAGCAAAGACATCCAGTCTGATGCACATAGGAGAAATAAAATTCAAGTCGTTCAAAATAATGTGACGAAGCATTGACAAGATAAACCGCGATATGCAATTTAAGACTTTGCAATTGTCATCTTTGGGGCCTTCCCAAGACTATTCTGAAGGGCTTCCCAGGTATTCGGACATAGCAACCCGTTGCATGGCAACCGGGAAATGCTTGATTGACATTTTCTATTATAGTCTGTTTGGAACTTCTGAACTGCTGATTGAATGAGCGCGGAATATACCTCTGGTGTATCAAACAATGAACTCAAGTAACTGAGCTGGCGCAGAGCTGTAACAAGCGCACCGATCAGATTCCGAACGGCCCCAGGTGGGGAATTAGCAATGCCGTAAGTGTTTGATACAATGTCCTCCATCCTCTGTATCGTTTCAAATACAGTTGTCATCAGCACAATCTCAGCGGGAGCATTTCTGGGAGGAGGATTGTAATCGCAAGCGAGCTTGTCAAGCGTCGCAAAATTTGTCACAGTGTCCTCGAAAGAATCATACTCCCCATCAGGTATAGGAATCAGTGTAAGCTGGTCTCTAACATGATCCACATTCAGTGTGACGGCAATACCATAGTTCGTGCGAATGCATAACAATCCATTTTCATTCGCTGAGCACATGAATACTTGTTCCAGCATTTCTATTTGAGCAAACGAAGTGTTTTCTGGTCTCACCTTGACGACAGAGACTTTTACATTCTTGCTTTTATCCGAGGACGGCACTATAACAGTCCGATAAAACCTTTTGGAAATAAAATAAAAACTTGTTAAAGAGGAGTTTAAGATTCAAGCCGTTATCCAAGTTACAACCATACTGCGACGCGAAACATTATCCGGGATTGTATTTGGTTCTCTTTTTCTCGTTCTTTGATTGGTCTAAGAAACCGAACCACCTCCTCAACCAATCAGATGCAAAACTAAAACCGCGTTTTCCCGCGTTTATAAAGACCGGTTGCTTTTCTTCACTCCGACTTCCCATGAACTTCCCATGATTTTCATCTTTTAAAGAGCGGTTGTAATTATTTTGCTAATGGTTTACGACACTATACACGCTATAGGGATTTTGGATCAATTTGACCATAGCAATCCAGAACGACGATCAACGGAGCCAATGAAGAATTAATAGAAAATACATGCAAAAAGCCTAAAGCCCGCGAAAACGCCAGCGACAAAATCGAGAATGCTTTAAGTTTAGCATCTCATTGGTTGAGAAAGTGGCGCCCATTTTTAACCAATCACAGAGCGAGGTGAAGCATATGCACTGTTGCATTATTTTAGATACTCATAGTGAGGTAAACTGAAAAAAATAAAAATAATGGGAATCAACCAGAGTAAACGTTTCTCACCTAGTTGGATCCAGGTGCCACTCTTTCACAGCAAACACCTCAAATCCCTGGAGCCATTTATCCTGAGAAACTATTTCAAACACCGCTGCTTCTTCTCTGGCCATCTTACCAAACCTAGCTTGCTCACACACGACTATCCTTTCCGTTAACAGATGCATCTTGTCCCTGTAATCCTGTTCGTTAATCCGCACCAAATACTGACAGGCAAACTCTACACTTGCCAAGTAATACCCTGCTTCTGAGAACGCCAAGTTAGGATTTGAATATCTCCTTAAGTACGCGATCGTCGACGCGAGGTTTGGTATTTTAGATTTTAGAACGACATACACCCAAACATCCATGAACTCATCTGACGAAAGTGTAAAAAAAAAGGGATAAGCGAATGAGCAAACGAAGAGGAACGTGGGTGTAAGCTTTGATGAGGGAATTAGTTGACGGAATGATCTTCCCAGTGAATCTTACAAAATTAAACCTTCTTTCCAATCCAATCACGCTCAACTTTAGCAGTCTGATTCCAGGGAATTTTTTTTTCGCAACACGATAATCTTGTTCCTCGAGAGTCAGTCGACTCTTTTGAACGTGAGACGAGATTTAGGTCTCGTAGCTTGTTTCAGGCGTCCGGTCAGTAGAACGAGGCGCAATAAAACTGGCGCGAAACTTGCGACTGAGTGCAAAAACGAGGGAGGTCTGGGTCAGGTACGCGACCTGAACCAAACCTGCTTCCTATTCTTTTGCACCATTGCTACTACGTTTGTTTATTTCGCTCCGTTTTACTAACTGAAAGCCTGGAAAAGGCTACACGTCTCACGAGAGGAAGGTAATTAAATTCTTGGAGGTACTGTACCGCAGAATTTTTATGCCTCTCCGTATTCTGAGCTCCTGATCACTACCTTGTTACACACGGATGAAAAAAAACTTACCTGCACCAGGAGGTTTAGAATGTTCGAACATGGACAACTCATTAAGTTTTTTGAACACACAATGCGCCGCGCTGACAATCGCGTGTATCTTGCGTGATGGTAAGATGGACAATGCCATGCTTTTCATGGAAGCCACTGCTGCATAATACGGTGCTATACCGTCGTCTTGATATACTGCGTTGATGCCGAACTGGGTCTGTGTGATGTGTGCAAGATTTTTGTAAATCTGTGATATCCTTTTGTCCTCTTCTGGCTTACGGATGTGCGCTTGAATGAGGTTGTAGATGGATGGAAGCAAGTACTGCTCTAGTTTAGCCTGCAACAGTAAAAGTTCATTTTAAAAAAATAGTTTTGGGTGATTTGCATAGACTTGAAACCATCAGTACAGTCCAACCTCGATTATCCGGACCCCGATTATCCGGACTATTCGATTATCCGGACTTTCTTCTCTGGTCCCAATTTTTCTATGAATATTAATTAGTTGTGTTCTTGAAACTCAAAGTCGCAAAAAGCCCAATAATCCTTTCAAAAGACTGTTGAAACAGCGTATTATCCTCTGCGCTTTTCAAAATTCGAAAGTGCGACGAGACAAAGAAATATTCTGATGCGTTCAGCTGATATATGGTTGGCTCAATTGTTTTGTTGCCAAGGGAATTTCATGTTTGATTAGTTCCTTCCGCGTAGGCTATGTAAACACACGAGCGATCGATCGTAAACTCAAATAAAAAACATTCCTACGAAGCGAAAGCTAGCCATTCTATTGATTAAAGATAAGCAGATAATTATTTCACATTTCTATCTCATTAATATTCATATTTTCGATTATCCGGACTCTCGATTATCCGGACTATTTAACGAGGTCCCGATGAGTCGAGGTTCGACTGTATTTAAGCTATAGACAACCTTTTTCTGTGTTCACATAGCCTCATCTAATTACTTAAAGGTTGGTAGAATTTGAGATAGTTTAGCAGTCCAGGGTTTTCGTAACTGTCACAAATTCATCCAACCCACTTCTCAGTTGTTCAGACACTCTAAAAAAGTTCTCCACTGCTCTAAAAATGTTTCTCACCAACACTTATAAATCTATCATGTCAAAACCTAGTTTACATACTACCATTGAAAAAAAACCTATTAACCAATGAAGACATGCTTACTACCTAATTTATTTTATCAATATTTAAATTGAACCATATACTTTGTTACTATAAAGAATATCATTTCTTAAGATTAACATTGTGTTTTGATTGCCATCTTTGAGGAGGGAGTCTTTCAGAGGTAATGTCACAGACTATTTTGGGTTTGACACTTACTAACAACTGTAAACAATATCTATTTTCAATAACAAATAAAGTATATGTTATTGAACATTTTGAATCATATATAACTTTAAATTTGCTCTGATCCATGGTGATTTGCATCCAAGCCTGTTATAATCACTAGGTGATTATGATTATGTACCAATCAATTCAAATGTAAACTGGAAGTGTCAAGGCTTTCCAGTGGAATACATTTTATCGTTTGATGTGGAAGTATTCAAGGGTGAAGACTTTGTTTTTCATGATTTTCACATCATAGAGTAATGCTTACAAGTCAAAAACCCAATGGTGGCACCAGAAAATAATACACCATACCTTTTTTTCTCACTGATTTTAATAACATTTGTTCCTGGGGGGAGGGGGTATTTGGCCCAGGGAGGGGAGAAATTTGAATAAACCAATCTTAAAAAGTTGAGACTCCCAGGGGGATGTGGGGGAGAGGAAAAGACAATCCAAAACTCATACAGATCAACTTCTTGATATTTCTGAAGCAGTTATACCCATCAAACTAAGATAAATACTTCTTAGCAATAAGTTGTACCAATATTACTTACATAGACCATATCATATGACAGGCTTTCTCTCTGATGAGTCAGCTGTTTATCTATGATGTACTGTGCCATACCACCCACAAATTCCTGATATCTGTCTGGGTGGACTCCTGTGGGGAACTCATCATCGATATTTTGTACATCCCAACATTCACGAATGTAAGCTTTCAACTTACATGCTTCAAATGTACTGTTTATATGGTTGGTATCTAAAATCCTATCCAAAATGCTGGCAATTTCCAAAGAACCTGGTGAAACTACAACTTCTTCAAGGTTCAAGTCACCAGAGGTTACATCTGGTTCTTTGGAGCCAAGCTTTTTCTCCAGGTGTGATGTAAAGGACTGTCTTGTTGTTATTGATGATACTGATGACTGTGACAATTCTTTATCATCTTGAATGCAAAACTCTTTGTGCAATCTGCAATTCAGAAGCAATCATGAAATGAATTTCTATTTGGGAATAATTCCTAAGATCTGATTATAACTCTACTTTCTGTTTGCAACACCTTCTCTTGTGAGTTGGCAATGGAAATTTACTAACATCAAAATTGAAGACAACAATCTTAAGCTGCTTACTTGATGTAGATAATATATGGTGTTGTAAGAAATAAGTTATGCATGGATACTTCTGAAATCAAAAATGGATTAAACATGAACAAAGCAAGAGTTTGATGGTCAAAGAAATGTTTTATCCAGCCATATGGTTTTACTGAGAGCTGACTCAAGGCACTACTAGTAATGCAGTTAAAGTGACATGCTCCCTGATAAACATAGCCTTTTCACGGGTTAACTAAACTATAACCTTGGAGGTTATGAGCATTTTTAAAATAAAAGCTAACTTACTGCTAAATAGACAAAATACCTGATCTTTGCAGCCTCCAAATCAAGCATTTTTGATTGCAGTTTGTAAATTTGTTGATTTCCTTGCACCCATTCCTCAAATCTGCAGAACTGCAGACCTTCTGGAGTTGGTGTTTTACTACCTGTGGTGATCAAGTCCTGAGTGAAAGGGTGAGTAGTCTTAGGCTATAACTACAGTAATATCAAAACTAATAACTGTTTGTAAAATAAGGTGTAACACACACTTGAGATCATGTACAGGAGAGATTTTTCGGGTCATACGCCTCTCATTTCGAAAACCCCATAATTTCCAAAGTCTTGCAAAGTCTATTGAGTTTTCCACACGACAAAGCAGCGACATGCGCTCGTTTCGCTTGATCAGGTTGATTTTCAGAAACTGAAAGAGGATCTAACGAAAGTTTTCCCTGCTTGAAAAAATGTGAACTCACAAACGGAACAAATTTACGTGACCCAGTACCTGTAACTGTTTTATACAGGAGCTCACATGCACTTGCTTCAAACACAGCACTTGAATCTTCAACATGACAATCTCCTTTGTTAGCTCACGCTTTTTACGCGAGTATTCCTCTGCATCTTCAGTCTTGCCGTCCACAGACTCTAATGCTCCCCAGGAACCCATCACCCACACAGTCATTGGCTCCGCGCCGCCGCTCTCCTCGTCAAGGCGCTCTTCTTGTGCGCTCAGAGAAAAGCACTGGCTTTGTAGCTCCGTTTTCAGGTGGCGATAGCTGATTAGTGATCTTGCTACTGTTTCTTCTGTCTCCTTTTTCACTGAATCTAATTCCCAGTTATCAAGGAGACGAGAAGACTCGAGGAGACCTGCAATGTCCACCATTTTTAAACGTCCACCTCGTTATGAGGCGAGTTGCATTTCAGGAACAAGAGCCGGGGTGGGGTAAAAAACATTTAGTTTTATCCTCAAAGGAAGTGATTGGTAGATGAAAGTTGGAATCAATAAGTAGACTCTCGAAGTTTTTTCAAAAATTTTTCCTTTTTTTTTCTTTTCTTAATTTAATAACAATTAAGAGCATGAATCGTTGGGAATTTGTCAAGAAAAATTTAACTTAGGTTCATAGTTTCCCTGAGGGGGTGGCTGAAAGAAGGCTAAAGCAAAGAAATAATAGATCGTAAATTGGTCAGCGGAAACACTTTCTTCATTTACAGTGCATTATGTATCTACGCATGCCGTTTTGATCTTCCTCAGGAAAATTTGAGCGCGGAAACCACTTGCCATATTTTCCTTTAAATTGAAATCAAGACGAAAAAAGAGGGAAATAAATAGAAGTATTTTATGGAGAACCTTGTATGGTTAGAAATTCCCAAATTTGGAGTAAGCCCGGGAGAATCGAACCGGATACGATGACCAATCAGACACAACTATCGAACCAGCTGTTAAACAAACATATGGTCGAAATTTAGAAAGTTCCTTAAATTTTGTTTCATCACCTGTTAGCTAGGGTTCAGATGGTCTTTTTATTTCGCTATGGGCAAAATGCGAATTTTTTCCGTTTCATTTTTACTTCTGGTCATTTCAGTCACGGTCGATGCCGACATCGATGCAGAGGAAGCAGCATTGCCAACAAAATGCCATGGTGAGTAAGGATTAATCTATTCTTCGCTTTTTTATTAATCCTTTTTTGTAAATGATACCCAAGGAAATAAAAAAAAGCTGTGTGTATAAATCTCTGAAAAACAAAAAGTTATTTCAGAGACGCGTTACTTTTGACAAAAAGACAAATAAACAACAAAGTAGATGTAGTCTCCTGAGAATGACCTGTGAATTCTGCAGCTACAAATGTTTGTTTCCTCTCTACTTTTTATTTATTCGCTTATTAGCCGTGAAAATTGATCTTCCAAGAGACGATAAAATATTGTAAATTTAGACTCCACAAATGTTTTAGAGATCTTATAGCTAATCTGAAGCTTTTTTCTGCTAACCATAGTAAATACGAATGCAGGGAGATTTTTTTTTCTTCACAAGCTGCTTGTTTGTTTTAGCTCAACAGTTATATTTTCCAGCCAAATATATTATGCGTTAAAAATTTGCTTTCAATATTTCACACAACTTTTATAAGGCATTTAACTTTGATTCGCCATTAAAAAAACTTTTGTCGTTCTTGAAGTTACCTGATCGAGTTCGATTGAGGAAATTCGAACTAAATTTTGTCGAACATATGTCTGAAACATGAAACTGTAGCTTGCCAGTCAACTTATTTTTTGGAGCCAAGAGACGCGAGCACCATTCAATTAACTTCTGTTCATTTGATCGAAATGTTGATTAGGCTTTGTTCGCAATCAGATCACTGACTCAAATTGTGTCATATGTCAATATGCACAATTGTGATCTTCTAAATTAACAGTAACCACACTTTTGATTGGCTGCCTCAACAAACTTAACTTTAAACAGGTGCAAATTGTTGGTTAATATTGGCACAGTTTAGAGGCCAATTTTTGTTTGGTCAATGTTTTTCTTTTTTGTGAATAATGGTTTATGCCCACAGGGCAAGGATTTTTTAATTCTCTCTCTGAGCACCTGCCTTGGATCTGCAATCTAAATTATTTCAGGTTTGGTTCAAGCATTAGATTAAGCTGTAAACTGATAAGAATTTCTTGAATATTTAATACCATTGTGACAGTAGTAGTTCCCCCTTAATCTTTTTCAAAGTCCTGTTAACCCTTTAGCTCCCAGAAGTGATTAACATTTAACTTCTCCTTTAAATGTCCATAAATTATCCAGCAAGTGGGTAATGAGAATACTCAAACCTCTTGAGTAGAAGTTGTCAACTCAATCTAACACCAGGTGTAGCACTCACAAGGGAGAGTTGAAATCAGATCTTGGGACATAAAGGGATAAATAATTTCTGTAAGAAATAAATTTAAAAAAAAAAATTTGTCTTTCTTAATGTGTTTGAATCTCTCAATGTTACAGTTTGTAAACACTTGGTACAAGAACTGCAGGATGAGCTTGAAAGGTCTGGCAAGTCCAAGGAAGTCTTCCGAACAGGGCAGATATTTCAGGAGCAGCGTAAGGAAATAAACTACCAGTATTCGTAAGTATGCAAATCTTATTGCTGTAGTCAATTGCCTCTAGATCATGGGAAAAGGGGAGACATATTAGTCCTGTAGCTAGTTTGGCATACTCTGGAGCTGGAATTAGCTAATACCAGTTTAAACCTTTTACCTCATTTATGTGGGTTTGCAGACCTCAAACACTTTTCAATGAATCATTAATTACATTTTAGAAACTCACACTTTATACTTTTATATTTTGTTGTAGTGAGGTTCGTCTGAATGAAGCTCTGGAAAATGCCTGTTCTAATGTTTTAGATTACAAAGTGCATAAAGACAAAGTGAAGGCTTTGAGATATGAAAAGAGTGAGTGAAATCATTATATTAAAAAATATTCCCCCTTTTCCTAATGCCTTATGATGTACAATTTTTGACTCTGAAATGAGTTTCCACCATAAACACTATGTAAGGGTATTCTCTGTAGCCTAATTATACAGAGAGGTGCCCTCCATTAGGAGGGAACTTTTACTGAGTAGTAGAAGGAGTTTTTCCTTCACAGAATATTTTCTGATAATTTATTGTTTTCTGTTAGAATTTGTAGCACATTTTGAAAGAATGCCTGTTTTAAATATAATCCTCTACAGTCATATAGCTTAAGCCCCAATTTTCCAAATTAAACAAGTTCCACAATAGAGGGGTGTTGTCCAACACAGGGCCATGGTCATAGATCTCTTTGTTCCAAACAGGGTCACGTAGGCTTCCATGCTCTTAACTGCCCCTTTGTACCCGAAGTACAAAGACAAGTTAGCCTAATAATATACTGTGTTTTTATGTGTCCCTGGAATTAAAACTCAGTACTAAGTTGGAATAATACTTCGCTCTCTCTCCAGAGGAAAGTGTAACATTCAACACCCTCAAAGGACTAAAAAATCGAGGAGTCAAGGTGGACCTTGGATTTCCTTATGAGATGTGGGACACGCCTGATGCTGAAGTAACAAGGCTGAAGAGCAGGGTAAGACTTTGATAGACATTTTGTTATTTAAGTTATGGGCTGTAGTGACTGGCATACTTTGTTGGTTACCAGGGATTTTCTGGCTGTGATTTCAGTCAAAAAGATGGTGTATACTGTTTAGAAAAAACTGAGGCCTGATACCCTGAAATTTTCAATGCAAGTAGTTTGAGACAAAGTTGTCAATTGGCCATTAAGTTTCACTGCAGGTTGTTGGCATGTGAATAAAACAGCTCTCACTCAAGAGAGAGATCAAGGACTCGAAATCAAGCACAGCTGGCCACACTAGGATATCTGTCTCCTGCCATACTTAGCACCCTGGCTGCTTTGCTGTTACTCAACAAATTCCTGTTCAACTTTTTCTTATAACTTGGTGATCTGTTTATGAAAATCACTAGTAAAATAAATAGGGTCCTTGACACAAATAGTGATTTTCCACAGTAAACAGAACATCAGCTGTTTTTGAATAAGGTTCTGTAGTTTTGCATGTCTTGTCAGGTTACAGAGTTGTTTTAAAAATGGTGGTATCCATAATTAATTTTTCATTACATTTGAGAACAATTTCTGGTTGCAAAGAAGGCTTTTTTATTCAAAGCTCTAAATGTAGCAAGGAGTGAATTTTTGAGTATTTTTACATTGTGAAGATACTAAGAATTATGTTTTGGCTGGAATATGATTTAATAATCACAGTTTATAACTACAGTGCCATTTATTTCAGTGTGAATTAATGGTTGAGACGTATGAAGATGACTTGACCCAGTGGTACTGGTATCACCAAAAGGAAAATTTGACAAACTGGTTATGTATTGAGAGAGTGCTGGACCCTGGAGAGGAGGGTGAGAATTTTGTTCATATCTGTTGTTTTATGTGGGTGTGGTCGTGTGAAGGAGTGTGGCACAGGGGCTGGGGTTTGCACTCTAGCGTCTGACTGGTTTTTGGGACCTTGTCGAGTTGTTTATCACCTCTTATTAACAAAGGTGGCAGTCACTGTCTTGGTAACATCCTTGAGATAAGGGTGCACTGTATGCATTTTTATTTTCCTCTCTTAGACAAGAAAACTAAGAAGAAGAGAGAGTTTCTAACGCGTTATGTTATCATTACGCCGTATAACAGAGTTCTATATTATTTTTTTTTCTTTAACGCAGAGTGTTTCAATGAAACTGAAGCAAAAAATACTGATGACAAGAAAGACAGTGAAGGGACAGAAGAGAAGGGAAAAGAGGGTGAAGACAAAAGCAGCGATACAGATGAAGATAGAGAAAAGAAAAAATCCGGAAAGGAAAAAAAGAAAACAAAGGGAAAGGAGAAAGACAAGAACAAAGGCGGAAAGACATCAGCTGGAAAATCGAAGAGGTCTTCGCAGGCTGAAGAAGATGATTCGGAGAAAATCCAGCGTCTCATTAGGCAACAAGCCCAAGAGCAAGAGGAACACCGCAAGAAACGTGGCAGGACAAAGGAGTTTGTTGGTGGTAAAATGGACGAACGAACACGGCGAGAGTTCCAGACCAGGCTCCGAGACATTCACGATGTCGACCGTCTCCGACGCGAACTTAGGAGGATTCGTCAACGAGAAATGACCGAAGATGATTACAGTGCAAGAGAGCCTTGGGAACGCCATATGGACTCGAGCATTCCTGAAGAAGTCCGACGTGACATGCGACGACATCGGTTTGAGCGAATGAACGATCCCGAAGATCTGAGGAGAGAGTTGCGCATGCGAGCTATGGACCTCGACGATGATGACCATTTCTTAGAAGAGCACTCCTTCGCTTTTCGTGAATTGAGCCACCGTTACATGATAGAAGCAGAAGAAATTCGTGATCCTTTGGAGCTGAAGAAACGTATCGACGACCTTGACGCGCTGTCGGCGATATTTTCTAGTGGTTACGAGCGTGGCCGACGACGAGGGCGACACGGTCGGCGCCCTCTGAAAGACGAATTTTGAAGAGTTGGTGCCGGCCACAGAAAGTTTTTTATCTTTAGCAGCCCCACATGAAATAGTGACACAGGGACCCTATCGAGCAGAGAGCGAAACAAACTGGTTTTCACGGACTTTATTAATTTGGTCTGAGGTTATGAATTTCAATCGGTTCCTCTCGCAGAGGGTATTAGTTTAGAGTAATTTTTTGTGAATAACATAGATAGACGGGACTGCATTGGTATTGCTTTAAAACCCCCTTTTTGTCATTAAAAACATGCGTCTCGCACTTAACTCTCTAAAACCATCAAGTGCAGAGGAGAATAGGAATTTGATCAGCGCCTACTGTCAGCCTCGTACTCAGGTTTCTCTCTTTTCTTGAAACACGTAGCGCAAGGTGTCATGGGCCAGTCGCTCTCTAAGAGTTACTAAAGCCACGTTACCATCGTGCAGTGTTCACCGCTTTTCCCGCCATTGTAGTAGGGTCTGGCTACTATATAGACAAAAAAACATGCCGCTTTACATGTTTCCAGGACGATATGTCACTTAGTAACTATTTAAATTAATTCTTGGCTCTGTTCACAAATTTCCTTTTTGGCAGGTGTTTTTAATTAGCTAATTTGTTGGGCTGCTAATGATTAGAACATTAAGGGTCTTGAATGAAAGTACAAATATAAGCAAAGGACATTCTAGATGCACGTATCCTTTATGGTGGAAAATAAGCTGTGTATTTTGGTTTCTATTAAAGGTTTGTTCACACTTGCAACGCAAAATGCATGTAAATTTCATTAACACAAATATAAACGCTTGCCCGGCGTAAGGAATGGAAACATCGTTTTCTTGCGCCTGCCTTCTGTGCATTTGTTTGTATTTGCTTCATTTGTGTGAGCTGATCCTTAAGCGCACGCAAAGTTTAAGAAAAATTTAAGGCTTGTGATGATTGTAGGAAAATAGTTTAACTATATTTGTCGAAATAAATGACTGGTTTCTGTTCTTTTACGTGTTACATGTTACATGCTGAAAGACGGGCTGTAGTTAGATTACTATTCGCTCATAATTAAGAACTGGAAAAATGAAGGATAGTTTTAAAAACTGATGTTACTATATTTTCTTCTTATTAGTGAGCAATTTAGTGATCAGTGTACGGAATTAACTGAGTGGAGGTTGGAACGCGGGAGAGGGTGGAGGGGAGCTGAAAACCAGCGCCCAGGTCCCAGGGTTTTGTTACATATTTTTCGATGTAACAAACTTAAGGCTAATTGTTAATCGTTCCTACTTAATCTGTATTTTTTTTCTTTTGAAATTTTACTTTCTACATATCTCCTTATCAATGTTCCGGTGGTTTCTTTTTTAACTTCAGGGCATCCACTCTCCACGACTTTTAAACAGTAAAACAACTATGAAGATATCACACCATCGCAAATACGTTTAGAGATGAGAATTTTCGAATGGACTTAAGATGCAAATTACGTCCTTTGACCCGGTAGTTATTCTCAAAGATTCCATACAACAACAGGTTTTGTAAAGTTCCTCTTGTATCTAATTTTTCGCTCCCGCAGAAACTGAAACAGCAGGATTTTAAAGAACATATGTTCCATTTCAATTTGCATTGAAGCGTTGTACATTCCTTTTGACATTTATTTCCAGTAACAGCTACAAACAAAACCCAATATGTGTTTTACAATCTTTAAATCCGATGCAATATTTTGATAGGGCGTCTACACACGAAAAGATCGCGAGATCAGTGGACTGAATTTTAACCACGCTTTGTTTGCGTACTCTCAGTTTACAACATTAGTCTACTACTAACAGTACAGACACAGGCCGCTCAAGCTTACGTCTCGAGAAAAAGCCAACGATTAATTAATAAAAGCGTCGTGCGTTGTGTAACTCGGTGCTAAGTTACGAGAGGAACCGTTGAAAATTTGAACACGTTATAAGGAATAATACTGGGAACGAAATATGGTCGATTTACAACGATAAATATTTCGAAATATGAACATTTTACACGTAAAATTAATGAAACTTACTCACATCCTGTGTGTCCGTTGTAGTTTCTGGCGATTTCTACCGTTTTAAGCTTGCCATCACTGTTATTCCTGTTAAAAGACTCTACACCGAGTCACACAACGCGTGACGCTTTTACGAATTAATCGTTGGCTTTTTTTCGTGACGTGAGCTTTGGCCACCTGTGGTACAGATATCTTTTCACTGACGCACTATTTAGGTATGGCTCGAGTAAAATTGAGTTCCGTGAAAGAAACAAGAAATAACGATGTTTATATGAAAATCAGTAATTCAAAGTTTTGTTACTTTCGAACTAACTCATCACTTTAAACAAATTACACCCCACAGGAAAACTTTTCCATTACGACCGAGAACTCTCTTTCCATACATTAGAGTATTTGCGCACAATTTCGTGGATGGAGATGTTTAGTAACAAATCATTGGAACTTATTTTTTTCACACTAGCTTCGGTCGCAGATTTTCCTCTTGAATTAATTGTCGATGACTTTTCACTTTTCAACGATCAAGATGTAATCTATCTCATATTCGTTCTACCTAAAGTCACTGAATAAACAGTAAGCAATATAGCTCGGCGAATTTCTCGCATACGATAGCAGTAAATCAAAGGATTTATGGAAGAGTTTATGTTAATAATTGTCAGTGCGAAGTTGATAGCAATCCAATTCCATTCCGTGTATCCCATTATTTTGCCCAATGCAAGGCACAAGGAGTAAGGGAGATAGCAACACAGTAGAACACAGTACACTAGGAACATGTTTAGAGCTCCCTTCCTTCGGTTTTGTAGCACAAGATTTTTAGACTTTTTGTCAACTTCGTGTCTTAAAGTTTCAATCCTCTTCAGATGTACACAAGCGATGCGGTAAATGTTGATGTAAGCCGCTGTTGAGATGACCAGGCAAAACATTATTCCTGAGACGTAAAAGTAGGACCTATATGAAGGAGCAAACATAACCCAGATCAGGGGAGAAATCGCGCCAAGAAGCCATAAAATGGCGAGAAATCGGCGGACACGTTTCAATGTGATGACATCTTCGCATCGTAAATGGAGGCGGAGAGACAGATAACGTTCTAAACTGATTGCAGTCACTGTTCCAAAAGACACGCAAGAGAAAATGGACGCTGTTACTGCTACAGCAACAGACAATGTGCAAGTAGATTCTTTAACTCCCCGCTCGGCAAACGAGATTAGATACGCGATGTAGAGTGGCTGCAAAATTAGACCGACTCCTAAATCAGACATGGCGAGGCTTATCAGAAACATATTTGCCGGAGTCCATAGCGAGTACGATTGCCAAATTGAGATAATGACCAAGGCATTGGTCACTGTTGCCGTGATGCAGAAAGGAACGTTTAGAACAGCGTTGACAATGAAAGCTGTTCTGAACGGATCATTCCCAAGTGCTGCCATGTAGCTAAAACTACTGAAACGATTGCAAAAATCATCCTCGGAAATATTGCCGGACATGTTCGTCACTTACTGTGCTCTTGTTAAATCAGGTTTTTACTGCTGTGAAAAAAAACCATTTTATCTCAATGGAACACATTAAGTTTTTAGTCAAAGGAATTAGTTCGTGACGTATTAATTTGCACTTTCCAATCTTTTGGCCAATTAAATTACACGAAAGGGCAGTTTGAGGGCTTCCCTTTTTTCCATATCAGCACCTCCACAAGGAAATATCAATATTACCAACTTGTGATATGCAGCGTCAATAATTTCTTTAAAATAAGATCAATATGCCTGATTTCATCCCTTGATTTATTTTCCTGATTTCGTAATTATTCTCGAATAAGCCACGATTCTTGGACGAATAATTTTGTCTCGAAGCTTCTAATTGCGTGCAATCAGCAATGACTTAGCATTTCTGTTTTCTTGTTACTTAGAATAATAAATTTCGATTTCCGCGATAAGCTACCATTGGTTTTGAAGTCCAGTGAGGTATATTTCCTAATTTAGTGCAATCTGCGTGTCTTTCAATCAACAGCTGTCAAACTTGAGCAACGTGAATATTTATTTTCCTGAGAATGTAACAATTGACTTCAAAAGATTCGGATCTCTTTTTCTTCTTTCACATTTCATTTCACCTGGACCATAAAATACTTCCGATCTCTAACGTCAGATAACTCTGAGGAAGCGAAAATAAATATTCCGACATTGTGTTTCCTCGTCGTAACAGAAGCGACTCGAAAAATGAAAATGAAAACGGCGGTTTTTAAAAAGCAGTTGCCATCAAATCAATGACACAGCTCTAGCTTTGCCAAGGTGACAAAAATGTAAGTAATGAAATGTGCGGCAAAAAAAACCAAAAAAAAACCGATATTTCCACGGATTCTCTTTACCTTCCACTATAAACAGTAATTTTAGCATATTAAAAGTCTTGCTTTTATTTTATTCACATCATTCAATTATACAAACTTGCTTCTAGAAGCCATTTCAATTTGTTTGTTTGTAAAACAATCTTTAATCGACAGCTTATACGTGACGAAATACGTCTCTGTGTTAGAAGAAAAATATCGCGAATCTGCAGAACTCTAAAGAAAAAGGATAAAAGTCATTGCCAATTCTGAAATGGAAAAGGGAGATTTTAGGAATAAATTTATCACTTGAGAATGTTTGCCGTCTGTAGCATCACGATACGCTACTCAATGTATTTCTCGGCAAGACTGACAAGGCACCAAAGTTTTTTTTATCCGTAAATTACAACAAAACAGATAAAGAGCAGGAATAAAATTTAGATCCCTTGGCCAAGAGAAATTTATTTCCATTTGTTTGGTTCTGAATTCGGAAATTAAAACAGTTTTTGTTTATCCGCTACGAAACTTCATCTATTACGTTATTTAATCACCTGCTCCTTATAATTTTCCTTTCAAGACTTTTTCTTAAATCAATGTAGGAAAACACGCAAATTTTGTCGCTGAATAGATCTTTGAAGCTGAATAAATCTTTCTAGTTCTCTTCCTTTAAGAATCATAAAAGAAAAATAACGAGATATATGGTAATTATATACGTCATAGCTATTCCAATGAGCGTGTTAAGAAAATCTAGTGATTCTAAATTGCGGATCTCACAATCTTGAATATGGACAAAAAGAGAAACGTGCTCAATTGAACGTTTAAAACCAAATGTTTTCCTCCAAGCTGTTATGTGATGACAAATTAAATTTCGACTCCATGATATTAAGCAATCGCTGTATTTATTTAAAGCTCAGCTGTGCAACTCTGCAAAATTAATCAGTGATATTGTCTGGGCCACAACTATAGCCGCTCATAACCCTTAAAATTCTGAGCCATTTTCTCGCGAAAGTGAACTTTCTACCGCAAAAGACTTTACAGCTCCGGTTCAAATTTCCCACTCACACCGGGCACAGACGACAGTCAAATGCTCGTGGGTTGCCTAGGCGGGAATGTTCAAGCTTTTAATTGATCGGCGCATAACCTACTTTATAATGGTGTTTACATTTCACATGGACAAAAGTGCTCTTTGTTAGCGGAAATACCGAGAACGGGATCCGGCTAATACGAGACCACCTTGCTGAAACTACGTAAATAAATGAAGCAGGAACATGATCTTCTCTGTGAATCACGCTTAAGTTAAATTAATTGACACAAGGTGTCATACGCATGCGCAAAATTCCATAAGAGCTCTTCGACCTTGGGCGAGAACCGAGGTCTGGAGCCAAGGACATAAAAACTTCAACGTGCCGTGCAAAATGCGTCACGGTGTTATACTGCAGAACTGAGCAAAAAATAAGGAAGGAAAGCGAGAACCTAAATTCAAACTCATTCTATTTCTTGTGCTTCAAGTTTACAGCAACGAAAATTTAAGCGCATCTGATTGTCATGTTGGTGATTAAAAGTACTTCATTGGCTTCGCTTATGTCGTTTTCGTCTTTCACGCAGGCCGTATTCGATCAATACTTTGGACAGGATTATACAAGTAACCGTGCTTGATACGATCGTTTTAATTTGGAAGAAGGTAGGAGGCACTTCCCAGTAATAGGCTTATGTAAATGTTCCGCTGGATGAGATCGCATTTCCACCATTGGATTAACGAGGGAGATTGATAAACAGAAAGTGACCATGTTGGGAACATTAAAAAACCATTTGCCCAAAAGTGACTAAGATGGGGTCTATAATTGGCCACAGAATAGACTTTAATAGGGTAGAGGTTCTGGGAGGCCAGCGACACATACCCAGCAAAAATTGATCCAAGTACCACTCCCACTGGTTGTTTCATACCAGCACTTGAGACAGGTACACTATTTATAAATACAAGACTCACTTCCATCACTTTTTTTTATCACTATTTAGGGCACAATTTTTGACAATCCAAGTTAACTCCATGTCTCAAGTCTTATTTACACTAGAAATTAAACTTTCTATGATACCTTTTCCTCAAGTTAGTACTCCACCACAGACTAGATTAAAATCAGGAAAAACAAAACAAAAAAAACAACAACCAATTGAAAAAACAAAAATAAAGAAAACACAAACATGACAAGTTCTTTAGCCTAAAATCCAACAAGTAAGGCCTTGAAAAAGAAGATTTGTCAACAGGAAATCTGCTAGTGCAGAGGACTTCACAGAGACACTTGCCATAGAAATTATTAGCGGTTTATGTAACTCCTGCGGGAAATTTTCACACGTTTTGCTCACTAAAGTAGATTGAGATTAATTATATCCTTGAAAAGTACAATTTCCGACGGAAAAGTGTTCGTGTTGAGCTCGATGAAATTTACTTCCTTCCGCGCGATCCTCTGTACTTTTTATACTTCTTCCCGCGTCCATAACCCTTGTTATACGATCCTCTGTTATTCCCCCTGTTACCGGAACTTTTATTTCCCCCACGGAAACCAGACCTCCCGCAACTGGGCTCCTTCTGCCCGTATTTTGATTGCCTTTTGTTGTTCTTGCTCTCTTTCAGGTGTTCAAATTGATTCTCGAAGTCCACGACACTGTTCGAATTTTCCGTAAACTGGAAACATTTGATTGGTGAATTACTGACATCGTCCCAGTCCACTTCGAGTCCGTCAGTGTCTTCTGTTGCAACAGTTTGCGAGGGTTTCTCAATCTGTCTGTTTTTTGCAACAACCCTTCAATCAGAAAATGTGTAAGGCATTGCAAAATACAGCTATGATTCACAATATTAGCCATATATGTGTTACAATTCCCTTTCCCCCCGTTGGATTTTTTAGTTTACAAATCTACGCTTGGAAGGCGAACTGGTTGGTTATTTACAAGGGAGGAGTAGAGCTGTAAGGTACAGTGGAGGATTTCACCCTTTACTCAGACCCGTAAACTACTCGGCCACTGGTCTTTTGACAGAGTCAAGTTACAAACGTTGAAAACAGATTCAATTGCTCATATGAACACTAGACACGTATTTCTAAGAATGGAGGTAGAATGTGCTATTATGCGTTACGAGTTGATACGTGAACATTGTGGAGTTTCCAAGCCTTCTTGGCATCCTTCCCACCCACAACGCTTGCAAAATTTACTCTTACCGTAGTAAATAAGGAAATTAACGCAAAACTTTGATAAAAACAGAAATGCACCTTCTATCTTTGTCTTTGCTGCTTCCCTGACTCCTGTCTTTCAGGGTAACTACTGGAAAAAAGGATATCAAAAGGTTCGATAGAGATAGTACTTTTTAGGCCGTGTCGTTTCAGAACAACAATAGCAGAACCATATGGTCAGGTGGAAGAGCAAATTTCCGATCGATTCATTAAAAGAAAGTGTTTCCCCCCTCCCACCCGCCTTGAAAGGAAGACCTCACTTTACGAAACTTTTCAGTTGGACGAAAAGTCTGAAAATTTTACCTAACAAATCAGACTTCAGAATTATTGCTACTTCCCCTAAATGGGAACTCCTGTCCGTTGCATTTCCCCTAACAATCAACTGGCACCAATCCAAACTACTGAGTGAGATGAAGCATAGTGAAAGTTTCCTGCTCAAGATCGTAGGAAACCCAACTACCTTGACTAGAGCTCGAACTCCGGATCTTTCGACTACAGCATAAAGCACTAACTACAAGGAAAGAGTTTTTCTCACATAACTGTTAAAAGTAGACCTGATGTGATTCCAATAAACCGTCCAGCGAAAACCTTATTGCTCCTGGAAGCTCAACAAAAGCATCCACAGGTAACCAGACAGTCCAGCAAAGAACTCACCTCCTACTTTACGCTTCGCTATTGATGTCCTTTTCTTAGCCTCCAGTTCTTCATCCACGTGTTGCGAGTACATTTCTTTCGGAATCTTCTCGTTACAGAGCTCACAGACCACGTGATACTCGTCACTCTCCTCGCTCTCAGAATCTCTTGGCCTCCGAGACTTCTTGGCCTTAGAGCTTTTTGATAAAGATAGGGGGCGTTTCTTGCTTCGACCACCAAGTATGGCAAGTGCGATATCATTTTCGTCGGTTCCTTCTTCTCGAATTTTCCTGGATTCTTTACAACGCGCAGAAATGCGCTGAGCTCCGTACTGCATCATGAGGCTGTCATCACATATACCACTACTAACTGATGAATCGCTGTCCGACTCCACTTCTTCTGTTCCACAGGTTTGTCGATACTCGGGTTCTTCGGTACTGCCACTTTCATTTTCTTGTCTTTCCTTGCTCATGTTCAAGGGAATGTACTCACCGAGGAATGTCTGTGCTGCTTTCTTCTTTTCCGCGCTGAATGGACAAAAAGGGAAAATGACATCTTCCGAAGTCCTCAGAGAAGAAAATTCCACCAAATACAAAACAAAATGAAAAAGCAAGAAAAGAAAATTTTGGCGCGCATATCAAAATGCACTAATGAGTGCCAAAGGAAAGAACAGAAATCCCTAATTTTCAATCAGTGTTCTTAAAGGAAAACTCTGCAACAGAAGGCTCATTTATTTATAAGTACATGAATATGATAAGCTGAATCCTACAGGGATTTTGATTGGTTCGTACTAATGATCTACTGGAGGGCAGATGCATAGATGATCTTACTATGAACATCATTTTCCTTGTTTAGCGTGTAAACAAATGCGAAAAAATTGCATGTTGCCGTGGGTCTGTACAGTGTAAAATATCACAGAAAACTTCAAAATGTGGTGGGGACATTAGTGACATTCTCAGCTGCGAATAAATGCCACTTTTTTGTTCTTCCCACATTTTGACGTCATCTGTGATATAATAATGAACAGACCCACGGCAACATGGGATCTTTTTGTTCACTTAAACAGTCTGGGAATCAACTCCTCTCACTGGCTACCAAATATGTCTTCTATTACCTCTTTCAACAAAATCAATCAAACAAACAAAACAATAGGAAAGGAATGCAACAAAACCCTGACCCCGGCATAATCGTTTCCCTTCCTGGCCCCTCGCACCATCACAACTGCATAACTATAAACGTGGACCAGAGTTCTATCCATCGAGAAAAGTACAAATAAACTGAAACAATTCTTTATTTCCGCAATCAGCGTCAACTTTTTCACGAGCTTACACGCATCAAAAAAGAAAAACGATCACGTTATTTACAGTAAATGTGTAATGGCCAACAAGAAACTTTCGTGATGATCAGGATGTTCTTTTAACTTTGGTCACTTCACTGTATGTTATCTTTTCCACAGTTACGTTTGTATATTTAAACTAAACTTTTGGAATGGAAGACCTTATGTAGTGCGTGATCAACCAACCAGAACTTTCACCGATTGTCGCCGGCCGCGCATGTGTTAAAACATGGAACACCAGAACAAGCTGGGACATCGCGGAATTTCGATGAAGGAAATTAAATATTAAATAATAGTATAATTAAAATACATATTTTTTCCTATGTTGGGAATTAAACACACCGACAGAGGGGTTACTAGTCAGCGGAAAACCAAGATGGCGGACTTGACGCACTAAGAGCGCGAGCGACACACAAATTGAGTTTTATCTTTCTTAGATATATCTTAACTCTTTCTTATCAAATTTTACGTTTATTTTCTTTTCTTTTGGAAATTCCACGGTATTCCGGCATATCCCGGCGTTCCGTTATTTTCCAGTGTTTCATTGTTCCTGGTGTAAGCACATGCCGCGCACGTGCACGGAGGCCTTTACACACATCTTCCCGAGAGCATTTTAAAAACTACACCACGCACTCACTTAACTGAAGACGGAAAAGGTTGTTGGTAGATTTAAATACAATATAGTTAAAACAACTATTAATTTCAAGATAAAAATAATGGTTATGAAACAAATAAAATCAAAACCTTGATGTTTCAAGCCAGTTAAGGACACTAGGACTGGTTTCTCTCTCGTTTTTCTCGTACACTGTCTCTTCACTCTCTGACTCAGCCCTTGAGGCTCCTTTGGTGTCCCTACTGGGTTTTCGCGAACCTCGATCAAAGCTTTTAGAACTACCGTGTTGATCAAATATTCCAGAGGTTGCACAACTGGTTTCAAAGTCAAGATTTCGCTTAGCAGAGGCAGAATCCGACGTTGAAGTGTCTTTCTGGAGTAGTTTCTGTCTCGCCAAAGGAGACCTCTGAAGCACGACTCTAAGGTTTTTCAACTCTCCTCTTTCGCCACTTAAAGTACGGTAAACTGTGTTCGCACCTTCGGAAGAAACACTGCAAAAAGGAGCAGGCTATGTTCAGAGTCATTATCGACTTAGATGCCGATTGTGTAACTCGGGCTAACTATCTGACTATAATTAGAAAGAAGATGGGCTGGCACAGTCATTAATTTGTCTTAAGTTTGTTTACAGAGCGCAAGTCGAGTGAGCAAGTCGCAGTTAGGTTCACACGTGGATGTGATTGGTTGAGAGGATGGCCCACTCACAAGGCATGATAGAACTACTAAACTCTAAGATCATTTCGAACACTCAATTGAAAGATAGTCTTTTCGGTGTTTCAATATCTTGGAAAATCAGACCATCCCGGTAGCAGCTTGCTCGAAATCTCGGCATTCCTGCCCGGCTCATGACAGTACCGTGTAACTGGTCTAATCTAGTAAGATAGAACAATCTTATCCAAAGAAACTACACCATAATAATTTGAATTGGTCCTCATTAACAGCGCTAGCTTAAGTAACTCCTTTCGATATTAGCTGCAGAACCTTTGAGAGTGAACTGCAACCACGGTTACGTTAACGTGCTAAAATAACTTAAATCTGAAAATAGCCAGTTACAGTACTATACTACACCTTTAAACACCCTCTTTGGATGAACCCGGTCTATTGAGCGGGCTAAGATCCCAAGAGCGGGCTGGCTAACATCTCAAGATCTCACCTTGTTACTTAAAAGCGTCCATAAGCTTTTAAAATGAAACTACAAAAATAAAGCCTTTTTAATCTCGGTAAAAGAGCTGACAATTCCCATAACGGAAGCAATTTGGCTTAACTTTCAAACTCTTGCCCAGTTACCGTCCTCATATGAACTGTCGTTCGAATTTTTTGACAACTATGTTAGAATGGCACATAACCAGCCTGCCACGTTATCGTTCCCAACTTTCCCTGAGATTGTCTGATAACCACAAGGCCTGGTTACTTCAAACACATAGCTCCATGTAGCAACTGAAGTAAACCCTAACCAAGACATTCACCTTCTGAAACTCGGTCCAGGCTTGCTCCTAAAACCAGGCTCCTCCCTGTTCGTTTGTAAGCCAAACTGCGCCTGTGGGGGTGGACCCTGGCAGTCCGATGCATGAGCTTCTATTTCTTTAGAAGTAAAACGCTCAAAACACAACGGGCATTCAACCGTTGATTCCAATAGTGCATCCTCTGTTATTTCGCTTGGCTGCTTCACTTCGAAGTGGTCTTGAGAGCTGAAATGCAAAGGAGCGTATCATTAATAATGACCTGGTGCTATATTTAAGTCATGCACGACCAATATCGTTTCTCTGATGTATACCTTGACGAACACGCCTCAAGCAATCCTCTTCGTGTCTTCGTCTTTAGTCTGTTCTCTGCAGCAACTGCTGCTCTTTCAGCTGCCTCCGAACGCTTCTCCCTCGTACGCTGACTCTCAGTCACTTCAAGAAGATGATCTTCCTCTACAAATCTATCTTCTTTCTGCTTAACGAAAGAACTTGCAGCCGTCAATGAACTTCCAGTATTTTCAAATTCACCTCCGGCCTCAGGTTCTTCGTCCATTTTAGTGGACGTTACATCAGGGTTGCATAAATCTTGTGATGGTTTCAGTTCATCATCCTCCACCTCCTTCCCCATCTTCTCAAGAATACTCCTGTTATGCATGGCTTCGGATTCGCTCTGTAGAGACACAAGATGTTCCTCTACATTCTCTTTCTGCTTTCTGTTTCTAGTTGCAGCTGTCTTCGTGCCTTCCTCCTCTGATGTAGCCGGTCTCACACACTCGTTTTCATCATCAGTAGAGTCATCCTCGATGAAAGGCCGCGAAATACTCCTGCGCCTTGGAGGCCGAAGAACATCACCCTCGTTTTCTAGTTCAGTTTCCATCAAGCAAACATCATTTTCAACTTCCCTACCATCTGGTAAAACGTCTATTTTGCTCGCTGGACTTTCACCTTTAGCCTCGCCTTTAGTCTTTGCTGAATTCGCTACAATTTCTTTTTCTTTTTCACCTTTCGGAGGTGAGCTACCCATAGCAACTGACTGGATTTCAACTGAGTCTAAATCTAAGTTAACACTGCCATCGAATAACATTTCTGAATCGCGAACGTCTACATTGGTAGCTTTCTTACGCGCCTCTTTTGGATCATTATTACGCGAACTATTAGAATGAACTCCGCCTTCGCTTGACGTTGGTTTGGTCAATAATGATTTTCCTTTCAAGCTAGCTCCTCTTATTTCCCGAGTCTCTACAAAGTCAGAAATTTTTCCACTTCTTGCAGAGCTCTTCAGCGTTTTCTTAATCAAGGAGCTCTTAGTTGGCGTACAATGTTGATCCAAATAGGATTGCATTAAGTCACCATCACCGTCACTATCACTGTCTATTTTAAACGGAGGTGCGGTAACTGTACTCGTTGATTTACTGCTGGTTGAGGAAGCAGTGGGTTGCTCAACCATAGTACTTGAGCTTTTCAAAGTTCTTCTCCGCTCAGAAGTTTCATTGTCTGAATAGTTCTTAATTCCGGGGCTTGCTTCTGAAGAGAAAAATAAAGGCCTTACCATTCAAACAAAGTTAAGCCGCTGTTTGACAAAAGTATCAAGAGGGCCGAAAGCTAGCAGTGGAAGGGCATTCACTTAATTTAATCAACCCTCTTATAGAGAAAGCCTGCGGCCCACTGATTACTTAAAACAGTGCTTTGAGATAGACCTCGTGTAAATAACCGGCCGTAAAAATCTTGTGAGAGTAATATCACTAATAACCAACTGCTAGTCACATTATTCAAATATCATAGCCTCAAATTGACAAGTCGTTACCATTTTGTTGTGTTTTGTTTTACCCTAGTAACCTGAGTGGTAAACACTTAATGATCGCCATTTGGGTGTTGGACATATTCTCATTGTGAGCACTACAGGAAATGTAAAAAGAGAACAGTATCGAGAACTTGCATACTGATGTTAGGGCGTAAAGTGCTCAGTTAGGCTGGCGGCTAGTAAAGAGAATTAGGAAGCGCATAGTCTGATTGGATGAAAAATTATCGTTTATCGAACCGGTATGCCTAAAACTACTACAAAAAAGAAAAAAAATAGAGGGCACTTTCTATCAGATTTCCGTCGTTATCATCCACTACGGACAACGAGAAAGCACTCGTGATTAAAGAGAATTATCCTGTTCTCTAAACAGCTGGTGTCGTTATGACCAGTCGTTTGCTCTCAGCACGAGGAAGAGAGTGTGGTGCATGACGGGAGCCACCAACAGCTGCAAATAATATTACTCAAAAGGCTGCGTGAGCTCTTATGATAGTAAATTGGTGGGAAATGTAGATTATTGCTCAATCACTCTGTACTTTCACCTTACTAAACATAACTCACCTCTACGTAACGATCCTCTGGTAAAAGGCGAGCCTTTTGTTCCAACAGAGGTAGTAGTCTTTGCCGACAGTGCATCCAGCGTGTCCCCTTGTCTGCTCCCAGCTACGACTGGGGAACCCCAGGGAATGAGCTTTTTGACCCTGGACTGCGCCTTATGCAATTGTCTTCTATACTTCTCAAACATTCTGATGATGATTCGAGTATACGCTGGAATGCTCACTCCAGGAGGAGCGAAGTACAAATTGGCCTTCATGGCTTCTTTTAGAGAGGTGGGTCTGCACTGCACATTCTTGTATCGGCGAGATAGACGAACAGTTAAAGTTGTAGACTGTGAATGAAAATAAGTGCAATAAGTACAAATGTAAGTTTACACTATCACTGTCTCTTTAAACCACGTTTGGGCGTAGAAATGCAAGTTTATTCACTGTACTTACAGCCATTCTTTTTGGTGAAGGCTCATCAATTCCATCAGGTGACCTTTTACAACCTTTCTTGTTCACATCTTGCAATTCATCTGAATCACTATCGTGCACAACTGAAGATAGTTTCTGCCGTTTCGGAAGATCTTTCTTTTCCAATACTACAATTGCTTCCTCGTCATCTGTTATGTCATCATCATCTTGCTCAAGTTTACGCTTCTCTCCAGTGTTGTTATTATTTCCACTCTTGGAATTTTCCCTCTGAGATTTTTGATCATTACCCCTAACCTCTTCCAAAGTCAAATCATCGTCTGATTTTGTTCCTGTCAGGTTTGGAAAGCCTGATTCGTCTCTCTTGGTTCTTCTCAATTTCAACTTTCTTCTTACCTTCGTTTTGTGCTGCCTGTAAAACGAAACGTGTTTATAACTTGACACTCCACAAGAAATTATAAAAACAGTAACTACCGCTTCGCCCAAAAATATATTGGGGAATTTAGATGCAAACAATGCCTGTTTCCTGAAGCGCATATTTTTGTGAGAGTATAGCTTAAGAAAAACTGGAGAGATAAACTCCCAGAACAAGATATGAGCATTTTTTTCAACCTTATGGGAAGTACTGTGTTCATCATCCTCCAACATTTATATCTCTTTTGCAATGAGTGGAAGACAACAATTACAAAAATCATCACAAATATTTCCAGTTTATGATGTTGACTTTTTAGTTTTCTTCATGACAGCCTTTTTGAAAATAAGTTTGTGTTTTCTCATGTATAAAATTCCAAACAGAGACTTTCCATGAATCTGTTGCAAGGTTGAAAAGTTGGAGAATATCACTTTGATATCCTCCAGTTTTGGTTGAGGCAAGAATATGTGGTGGATCATAATTACATTTATGAGTATCACAGAAGGTTTGCCATTTGATATCACATTTGCAAAGGAAACAAATCAACTAGAGGAAGGTTAACAAGTCTGTGACAATGTTACAACATACCTGGAAGAAGAGGCAGCCTGATAGGAACTTGACTCTTTTCCACTCTCATCACTTAGGTCAGCACTGTTTGACCTCACAGTGACAGGTAAAGGGGGGCTGTTTGGATGGTCTGTGTCACTGTCAGCATTCCTAAGCACCTAAACCAACATCACACAAATATACTGTAAACTGTATGCAAATACAGTAAAAAATTTACACACCAAAACATGATAGTAGAGTCTAAAACCTTTAAATCACTTGGAGCGACTAGCACTTGATATCTCTTTACTGCATCATCACTAAAGTAATATCTAGGTCATGAGAATAAAGAAAATTATCACCAACTAACAACCCACAGTAAAAAAAATAACCATTCAGTTGATGCATCTCCTATGTAAAAGCAAAATTTGCCATAATGTGGATTAAATACAATCAGAATCAAAGTACTGTATTTCTTCAAATAGAGCTTATGGTTTAATAGGCCTCCTCTCCAAAAGAACCGCTCACTTTCTTGGCCATGATGACAAATGAGGGCCCCTCTCATATAAGCATTCCCCCTCATTATTTACTTTCTAAAAAAGTAAGGATACAATGAACACCTGTTTCTATTGCCAATTCTACACCTTTTTAAGCTTTAACAACAGCAGAATTAGTACAGAAGAACAATAAGCCCCCCCTCCTCAAATACCCACCCTCCTTCTAATAAACACCCCTCCTTTCGACCATAATTTTAAACAAGCACCCAGGCTACACAGAATTGAATTTTTAAAAACAATGTTAGATGCACCTTCTTTCTATGTGGGTTTTCTTTTTCTTCAAGAGGAGTAGAGAACAAGTCTGGAGATTCAGCACGCTCTCTTTGATCTTCTTCACAACCTGCAATTTTTTAACAATAGGTAATTTTATCACATATTCATTACACAATAATAATCCTTGTGTTTTATTTTTATAGTTACTCACACAAAACTGACCAAATTTGTTTCAGGCTCTAAGCACTGATTGGAATACAATCAGATTGAATTCCTGTGACAATTGCATCATAATTAATTTCAATTAAAATTATTCTTATTTTTTAATTTAGGATCCAACAAATGAAGGAGCTATTAGCATAAATCTACCAGCATTCTATTAACCAATCTGATTGGTTAAGCTACAAGTCACCTATTCTGTGACATATAGTGAGCAGACTGAGTAGCCTTACATGGTGTGATTGTGAAAAATTAAGATCTTGGGGGTTAAAGGGTTAAATTGTTTGTGACTACTGGGGTGTTGCTACAGCTGTACATGTACAACTGTAGTTCATCAAAAGTAACATCCCAGCAATTTGTCAGGTTTTCCAATCATTTTTTTCCAACATTTTCATACTCTTGGGTGGAAAGCAGACAGGTAATGGGTGAGCTTAGTGTTCAGCCAAAGGAAATAACATAACAAAGTGGTCATGGCTTCAACTTAATTCCTCCCTACATAGTTTATGGTGATAAGCATAGAACTATTAATCTTCCCCTCTGCACTGATGTGCACATCAGTTTTTTTCCAGCAGATTTTCCCAATATCATATTTCCAATATTTTTCAGATTTTTCTAATATTTCACTACTTGTATAAGGTTTCAGTAACATGCGAGAAAAC